CTGGAGTGCAATGGCGCGATCTCGGCTCACCGCAACCTCCGCCTCCTGGGTTCAGGCAATTCTCCTGCCTCAGCCTCCTGAGTAGCTGGGATTACAGGCACACGCCACCATGCCCAGCTGAATTTTTGTATTTGTAGTAGAGACGGGGTTTCACCATGTTGACCAGGATGGTCTTGATCTCTTGACCTCGTGATCCACCCGCCTCGGCCTCCCAAAGTGCTGGGATTACAGGCTTGAGCCACCGTGCCCGGCCAAGATTTTTTTTTTTTTTAAGCTCATCAGCTATCATTAGTGTATTTTGTGTGTGGCCCAAGACAATTCTTACATTGTGGTTCACAGAAGCCAAGATTGGACACTCCTGCTTAATGCCTCTGAGTTTTTTTCCACTCAACTGGCTCTAGCCCATTTTCAACACTTAAATAGTGTCATCTATTATCTTCTCACTTTGCCAATTTTCTCACTTTGTAAAGGGGAGCATTCATTCAAAGGCTCTTTTAGATCCCTCCCACCACCAGAGTATCTCTTACTCCTCCCTACAAAAGGCACAACAAAACAGTCACTGATGTAAATCTTTTTTTTTTTTTGAGACGGAGTTTCACTCCTGTTACCCAGGCTGGAGTGCAATGGCGTGATCTCGGCTCACTGCAACCTCCACCTCCTGGGTTCTGGCAATTCTCCTGCCTCAGCCTCCTGTGATGTAACTCTTGCTAGTTTACTATCTTCTTTCTTGGAGGGAAGATTGTCCCACTGGTGGTTTCTGGTTTTTTGTTTTTGTGAGATGGAGTCTTGTTCTATTGCCCAGGCTGGAGTACAGCGGTACAATCACAGCTCACTGCAGCCTCTACATCCCAGGCTTATGTGATCCTCCAGCTCAACCTCCTGAGTAGCCACAGGTGCACACCACCACGTCCGATTGTTAAATTTTTGTAGAGATGGGGTCTATGTTGCGTATGTTGGCCTTGAACTCCTGAGCTCAACCAATCCTCCTGCCTTTGGCCTTCTGAAGTGCTGGGATTTACAGGCATGAACCACCATGCCCGGCCCTAAAAAAATTCACTTCATCTATATAAGTCTAAGCAGATTGTGAACTCTTTCCAGTGTATTTTCTCACCAGGTTGGCTGGTGGTGGTTTTCCTCATTGAGAGTTTCAATTTTCCTGGTATATTTTATTGATGCAACTTTTAAATAACCTCCCTAATACTAATGACAAAAGTTATCCTTTTTTTTTTTTTTTTTTCTTTTAGATGGAGTCTCACTCTGTTGCCCAGCCTGGAGTGCAGCGGTGCCATCTCGGCTCACTGCAACCTTGGCTCACTGCAACCTCCGCCTCCCAGATTCAAGTGATTCTCCTGCCTCAGCCTCCTGAGTAACTGGGATTACAGGTGCGTGCCACCACACCCAACTAAGTTTCGAATTTTTAGTAAAGACAGTTTCACCATGTTAGTCAGGCTGGTCTTGAACTCCTGACCTCGTTCTCTGCCCACCTCGGCCTCCCAGAGTGCTGGGATTATAGGTGTGAGCACTATACCCGGCCTAAAAGTTTTCCATAATTCCTCCCATCCACTTCAGTCCGATTCCTGCATCAACCATGATGTAACTCAGGATGGGGAAATCTCCCTTTAAACACTAGATGGGAGCACGCTTTTAACTGCTGCCTGGAAAGACTGATGGACAGTGCCACCGAAGCACACACGTTGTTTGAGAACCCTCTGTTTCCTTGCCTATTTCCTCCTGTTACTGCCAGCCTTCTGCTCCAGGTAAAGGGAGAGTGTGACCATAGCATGGCAATAGCTCCTGGGGGTATCCTGGCTGGCCTGGCTCTGCTACAGCAGTCACTCTTGGTAGCTCTCCACCACCTGTAGGTGGTCCCTGTCTACAATTATCTAATCTGAAGGGTACTGATACCCACTTGGGAGTAGTTATAAAAAATAAAAAGGGGTGTTAGGTGGGGAAGGGAAGAGATTCTCCAAAGCTACTTAGGCCTGTGAGTGGTCCCCTCTAACATTTCCCTTTTTCTCTTGTCCAAAACAAAGTGTGGGCAGGTTCCACATGGGCATCCTAGAGACCCCTCCTCCAGGGGTCTGTTGCACAGAACCAAGTCATTGTAGGTCACATGCATCATATGATGGCTACCAAAGAAAAACACATCTTTAGGGAAAGTATGCAACCAGCTTCTCAGCTTGTGAAAGACCATTATTACCACCATGATCCATCATTTAAAAAGAATGTATTAACAGGCATTTTTTTCTTACCTGGCAAAATTCTAAAACATTATTCTATAATTTGTATCAAGTATTCCACGGTTCAATCTCATTCTTTTTTTCCTTTTTTTTGGCCTATCTTTCCCAGTAACATGGATGGAAGGTTCAATCTCATTCTTGCTACCCTCGATGTAGCAGTGGAAATGAACAGAGTTTGAAAAAGGCATACACACTAGCAAAGTACTGTTAAAAGGTTTATTGCAGTAATACAATAAAAGTTTAGAAAACATTTGTATGACTGAAACTGGTTTGGAAGTTGCAGAGCAATGGGGAATTCCTGCAACATGACACGGTGAGAAGATTCTCAGACACTAGTCCTCTTAACAGCACGCCACTGAATGCTCTTCCCCGAATTCTGTGAGTCCTTATATGAATCTTGTCCACTCAACCCAGCTTTCCCCTCTAACTTACAAATGTGCAAAACTTTTCTTAGTTATATTCCATTACCAAAAATGTCTTTAACAGACCATTTTAAGCAGCCTGTTTGGTGCCTGTGTGGGTTTTTATTAGTACTTTGTTGTTTCAATAAATCACTTAAAAATGGAAAACATGACCAAGTTCTATGGCTTTTTGTTTAAAAAAAAAAAACCAGCTTCAATTTCTTTAAAAACGCTGTTTACATATGGTTCTGGCACCTACAGGAAAGATTTTAATGAGCAGCAAAAAGAGTAGAAAAAACAGTGGTTGAAATGTATACTTAAGAGTATTTACAGGGTGGATCCAGTGCAAAATAATGAAACCCAAAATATTTCAGCAGTGTAAGCCAGTATGTTGGTGTTCCAAACCACAAAAGGGTTCGATCACTTAACCCTACATAAAGTGCCACCAGTTGATATTAACAACAAAATATATCCTATCAATCCCTAAAGTTCCCACATCTTTGTAAATTTTGTTGAAGTATTCTAGGTATGAGTTTGTGATCTCTGGATTCTATAGCCTCATCTCACATTCATGGTTTCATAGAAGGCTTAAGAAAACCATAACTACTGTTCATCTCAGATGAAGTCAATCTCCACTTCCAAGCTCCAAATGCAAATCTTGCAACTCGTGAGACTAAGTTCTTCCTTCTGAGAGTTTTAAGTAGTAACTAGACGACTATTAAAAGATCGTAAGTAAGTTCATTTGGTATCTATCTGTTCAAGTCCACCATCCCCACTCTCTACGAACTCCAGAACTGGACGGGAAAATGCAAGCCCAGTAATCATGAAGCTGAGCACTTTACACAGAGATCCTAGCAGTGTAGACAAACCCACAAGGGGCCAAGTGCAGTGGCTCATGCCTGTAATCCTCGCACTTTGGGAGGCCAAGGCAGGCATATCACCTGAAGTCAGGAGTTCAAGACCAGCCTGGCCAACATGGTGAAACCCCGTCTCTACAAAAATTAGCTGAGCATGATGGCAGGTGCCTGTAATCCTAGCTACTCGGGAGGTTGAGACAGGAGAATTGCTTGAAACCGGGAGGCAGAGGTTGCAGTGAGCTGAGATCACGCCACTGCATTCCAGCCTGGATGGCTGAGCAAGACTCTGTCTCCAAAAAAAAAAAAAAAACCCCACAAGGAGTAAAGTCTACTTCCTCCTTTCATGGAAAATTCGTAGAGTCAAGGAATTTGAGACTCCTGGATAGAAATAAACTCCCTTCTGCAACTCTACTCACAGCTATACCAAACACCAAATATACCATTAGCAAAAGCTATATAGCACCTCAGACTTGGAGGCCAAGTATCAGCTACAATAATTACAATGAGAAAAGAAGGTGGGGCATGGCAAACCTCTGAATGATTCCGCTGAGGTGCTATCATGCTAATCACGTAAGATATGGTAGTAGTGCCTGTTAGGAATTTTTCATAGGATTTCTTTTTGTAGTTATATAGGATTTTTTTGTGCAGTTATTAAAAATAAAAAACTACTTACATATTTGTACATAATGCCTCTCTCATAGTTTTCTTGTAAGATTGTCACTAAAAGCATGACAAGACATATGAGCTGAGAATGATCTCCTGGTGAGGGACATTGTTTACATTGTGCTTTCCCCAGAACAGAGACAAGCAGCATCAGCTGTAAGGATCTGTGCTGCGTTTCTGAGCAAAGCTGTGTCCTCAGAACAACAAGGACCTCGGAAACAAGCGGGACGTTTCCCCTGGAAACACCTGCCACCTAGGAAATCCCACAGAAAGAAACTAGACAACACAAGAATGACCAGAGGCCACTTAACTAAGTGGCTTTTCCCCGGTGCCCAGGCAGGCATTGAGCTTACACATAGGGAATGACCTTCATGACTCTTCTTTCTTCTCGAGATGGAATTTCGCTCGTTTCCCAGGCTGAACCAAAATGGCGTGATCTCGACTCACCGCGACCTCCACCTCCCTGGGTTCAAGCGATTCTTCTGCCTCAGCCTCCCAAGTAGCTGGGATTACAGTGTATTTTTAGTAGGGACGGGGTTTCTCCATGTTAGGCTGGTCTCAAACTCCCGACCTCAGGTGATCTGCCCGCCTCAGCCTCCCACAGTGCTGGGATTACAGGTGTAAACCAGCTGACCTTCATGAGTTATCATCCCTCAGAGAAGTTCAATTTCAAAATGCTCATAGTGTGGATGGCAGGAATTCAATAAACGAGGTAAGAATATGCTTAATTCTGCTCAGAAAACAAGAAAATAGTTTTAAAAAAAAATCTCTAGGACATTATTGCAGCCAGAATTTCTTCCATTTATGGATGTGGGTCCTAAAGAAAAAGACTTTCATTCTTTGGTGTGTGGGAGGAAAAGAAAAACAGGAATGTCTGACAAACTACGACAGAGCAGCATGAATGAAACATATTGAAACCCCCTCTCCCAAACAAAACCAAAGGACCAATAATAAATGATTCCAAATTGCCTGCTGGTTCTCCGTACAAAAAACAATGGCAGAAAAACTCCTATTAAAGAGCTTTTCCCGTTCATGTCCTAATCATCAAGAATCACCTCTTGTGATTCAACCAACCTCTAAAACTTAACATGGCAGCAACAGACTCAGCACCGCAATGACCAGCACACTGATGCATGTCTGCGGACCCTGTGGCCTGGGCCCAGAGGGAACCCAAATTAACTGCTTCCTTGGCAGAACTGGCCACAAGCACAGGTCCTCCTTCCACCAACACCAGTCTGGGTAGAAAGACCTTCGACTCTTCTGCTCTATTAATTATCAAACACATTGGTCACCATCACAGGCCACTTGAAAAATAGAAGTGTTTGTCTCCCTGCTTAAAAAAAAAACCAAAACACCACTTTAACCTCTATGTTCCAGGCACTATCTTAACTAAACAGATAATGTTGACTAGAATGTAGTGGGAGAAGAACTTTCTTGATGCAGATTTGGCATGTTTTAGTCCATGCTCGTTAACGGTGTCCAGTGTAAGCTTTAAACCAGGAGGTCACTGAGGCTGCTGCAGAGGAGATCATCCCACCTGCACTGCTGCTCGAGATGGGTGGGGACGCCTGGGTGCTCTGACTCTGGGAGACTTCCACAGGCTGGGAAGGGATATCACAAAACCGGGGACTAGGCAGGTTCTCCCAGTCTGTGCCCAGGTCGGTTTCTTCATCGCTTACGTGCTCGTCTCCACTCTCATCTGATTCTCCAGCAACTCCGGGATCCACAAATTCCATGGACTCCTCAAGGTCTGCTCGCACTTCAAAGGGCCCTGACCTGTGTGCAGACAATGAAGGCCTCTTTAGGATAACCATCATTCTCAACACCAGAAAATAAGCCATCTTCCTGAAGGCCCTCGCCTGAGGGGATGTGGGACATGCGCCATTCATTCCCCAAATCTGTGCTGCACTCTGTTGACATATGATTGAGTTTTCCTTTACCCAAATAATCATCTCCATCCAAGTTATAAATCAAATTGTGATATCACACTTTTCCACAAGTCTACCTACTTAATTGGTGAAGACTCTGCATAGGAAAAAAAAACCCATTCACTAAGATGGTCCATGCTGGTCCTAAGTCTGATTTCCTGTTGTAAAGAACTGCAGTGTCTACAAGGTAAATACACAGCACTCCAATGAGACAATTCTAACAAAAAGCCACTTGTGTACTCTGTATATTATTTAGTGTGACAAGTCATAAAATGTAATAAATGGTATACAAAGAAAACTCAGTGGGCTCCTGTACATGTTTAAAAATATCACCAACATTTTCTAGGACACATTTATAGCACAGAATGAAGCACAACTGTTTATAATATATCAGAGGCAATGCTGTATATTTCTGCACTATATCTCAGGAGAAAACTGTTTATTTCCCAAAGGTCCCTAATGACACCGTCACTGCTAAGTCCAATAACCCTTTCTTAGGCCTCATCCTCTCTGCTGGCTCCTCAGCACAGGGAACCAAATCGGCAACCCTTGGAAGCCTTTCTGCTTTTGTTTGAGATGGAGTTTTGCTATCGTCACCCAGGCTGGAGTGCAATGGCGTGATCTTGGCTCACTGCAACCTCCTCCCACGTTCAAAGAGATTCTCCTGCCTCAACATCCCGAGTAGCTGGGATTACAGGCACCCGCCACCACGCCTGGCTAATTTTTGTATTTTTAGTAGAGATGGGATTTCACCACGTTGGCCAGGCTGGTGTCAAGCTCCTGACCTCAGGTGATCCATCCGTCTTGGCCTCCCAAAGTGCTGTGATTACAGGCAACACCATGCCTGACCTTTTTTTTTTTTTAAATTGAGACAGAGACTTGCTCTGCCACTCAGGCTGGAGTGCGGTGGCACAATCTAGCTTACTGCAACCTCCACCTCCCGGGTTCAAGTGATTCTCCTGCCTCAACCTCTTGAGTAGCTGGGATTGAAGATGCCCACCACCATGCCTGTTTAGTTTTTTTTATTTTTAGTAGAGACAAGGTTTCACCATGTTGGCCAGGCTGGTCTTGAACTCCTGACCTCAAGTGATCCACCCACCTTTGCCTCCCAAAGTGCTGGGATTACAGGCATGAGCCACCACAGCCTATTGCCTTTCTGCTACTTTTTCTGCTCCCTTTCAAATGCCCCTCAGCTTCTGCTTCAAGGCAGCCAGGATGCATGTCCTCCCTGTGGGCAGCCACCCCTACCCACAGCCTTTCAGGGAACTGCCCTGCAACAAAGCTCCAGGGTGGGACCAAGGTGCCGCTATCTCCCTCCTGCTGCCCCCAAGATAAGCACACTAAATGCCATGCTTCATTTAAGGGTTTCACTGATAACGACTTAGGGGAAAATAAGAGAAGTCAAAACAAGTAACAGAAATGAGAGCCCAGAAGTGTACAGCCTGCCATTACAGTCCAACATTCTTTACAGCCTTCACAATGATAAAAGGCTAGCACTGGCCTCCAATGCCGCTCACCAGGTCTGCACCTTTGACTCACTTTTTACAGGAAGAAGCAGCCCTCATTCCTCCCAGACACTTGTACGTCCCAGCTGGATAGACAATCATAATGGCCAACATTTATGCGCCAGCGACTGTTTTCAGGGCTTTACAGGTATTAATTAAATTGGAAGATATGCCTGGGGTTTCCCACTTGGTCTCCAGTGACCAATTTTCAAAGAGCCCCTGAAACTAGAGGGGGCTCCCAAGTTGACTAGGCCCCCACCCTGCCCAAAAGTCAGTATTTTGCAAGGGTGAAGGGAGCAGGACTTGGGAGGGTCTCTCCAAATCTTCCTACTGCGCCTTGAATTTCTCTGCCAAGCAAACTAATGGCCACTGCATACAGTTTTTTGGCTCTGAGCATCCTTTTATGTATCCTCAAGTTTCTCCTTGCGCTTCATTTTTTTCTTTTTCTTTCTTTTTTGAGATGGAGTCTGGCTCTGCTGTCACCAGGCTGGAGTGCAGTGGCACGATCTCGGCTCATTGCAACCTCCACCTCCCGGGTTCAAGCGATTCTCCTTCCTCACCCCCGAGTAGTTGGGACTACAGGCACGCGCCACCACGCCCAGCTAATTTTTGTATTTGGCCAGTATGGTCTCCATCTTTTGACCTAGTGACCCACCCGCCTCAGCCTCCCAAAGTGCTGGGATTACAGGTGTGAGCCACCATGGCCAGCCTGCGCTTCATTTCTTTTCTCTCCTTTTTCTTTTCCTTGGCAGACAGTTCGACTCTAAACCCATCTTTTCAGATTCCTAGCGCCACTCCAAATCGCCCCTGGTTACTAAACCCTGAGGCTCATCTCAGATATCTGAACCAGTCTCAAAACATTAGCTGGCTGGGACTCTTCCCCTCCTCCCCTCGATTTATGTCTGGGGTCACCAGGGCTACCTGTAATCAAATAAGCTCCCTTTCCATTTTCAACGTGTCGCCCTGGCCCAGAGCCTCACCACATCACCATCATCTCCCACCTGCCTCCTCTAGTTGGAGAGCTGCCTCTCTCTCCTCCTGGCATGCACCCACTAAAAATATTCACAATTTCAATTCTTTTGCTGGGCTCCCTCCTTTATTAAATGCAGGGCGCTCTGATTCTGTTCTGTTCAGCTGTGCAGTCCAGGGGACCTCAGAACTGACTGCCAGGCTAAGTTTTCCCAGGATCCCCCTCAGGCCCCAGTCAGCTTTTTAACTACAGCTCACTCCTTCCTTCACTCCTCCCTTCCTCCCTCCCTCCAAGGCTCAGCCTATTTTCTCTTCCTCTTTGATGCTGCCTTCTCTATTCCTAGGGTCCTTCCAGATCCCCTCTTAGCTTTCCCAGGAGACATGCAGAATGAACAGAGAGGAAGAAATGACATTTCGTCTAGGCAGAGTTCCTGGTGGATTCCAGTTCTCTGCTTGGAGAAACCCACCTGGCACGGAGCAGGCACTCAACTAAATACAATGAAAAGCGACTGAATGGAAGACTCAAGGGGCAGTATCGAACAATGTTGGTTCTGATGATCAACCTACATCTCTGAGAAGCCACTGAGCAGGAGAGTCCTGGCAGAGGCCCCTGCAATGTCTCTCCACTCAGTGCCTCTCTACCACCACTTCTAGATTAGAGATCTACCACCTGCCTACCAGACTCCAAGCTAGAGACACAGCACACACACCGGCTAGCAAAAGAATTCATTCTATGTCACTTAATGTCTTTGGGAAATAAAGATTATAAAGGAGTTTAATTTTTAGTTTAGCTGAATAATGGATATCTTTTTATTCAAGACCTTGAAGCAGGAATACTCATTTTCTCCTAGTGCTGCAAGGAGGTATTCTACCAATTAAGGCAACAAAAGGATCTTTCTAGCTTTGTTAAAGTCACTTTTACAATCCTATTTCAAGTATGTGAGGGTGTGTGAATTTATGGACACACAGAGACTGCACAAAAGATAAGCAATGGGCAAAATATTAATAGGTGAATCTGAGTAAGGGTGTGCCTGCATTATTTTTATTTATTCTTATTATTATTTTTTAAATTTTGAGATGGAGTCTCACTCTGTTTCCCAGGCTGGAGTGCAGTGGCATGATCTCAGTTCACTGCAACCTCCACCTCCTGGGTTCAAGTGATTCTCCTGCCTCAGCCTCCCAAGTAGCTGGGATTACAGGCACACGCTACCACGCCCGGATAATTTTAGTCCTTTTAATAGAGATGGGGTTTCCCACGTTGACCAGGCTGGTCTGAAACTCCTGATCAAGTGATCCGCCCACCTCAGCCTCCCAAAGTGCTGGGATTACAGGTGTGAGCCACCACACCTGTCCCTGTTATTTTTTCTAATTTTTCTGTAAGTTTAAATTTGTTTAAAAAAAAAGTTTGTCTTTTCAGAATAGAATCCTCAGTTCTGCTGGTCTGAATGGAAACAGGAAATCCCACTCAGGTTCCATTCACAATCTTCTCTACACTTTGATTCTGCTTGAAGCAGTGTGAAAAGGGACTTCTGAAGTTCTACTTCCTGTCCTCTGGCCATATACTCAGGTGTGACCCACAGCCTAATTGTGTGAGCAATTCTCAATGGAAAACCTGACTCAAGAGGAAGCCCACAGAAAACTTTAGAGCCTCTATAAAAACTCACTTCCTAGGCCGGGCGCGGTGGCTCAAGCCTGTAATCCCAGCACTTTGGGAGGCCGAGGCGGGTGGATCACGAGGTCAAGAGATCAAGACCATCCTGGTCAACATGGTGAAACCCCGTCTCTACTAAAACTACAAAAAATTAGCTGGGCATGGTGGCGCGTGCCTGTAGTCCCAGCTACTCAGGAGGCCGAGGCAGGAGAATTGCCTGAACCCAGGAGGCGGAGGTTGCGGTGAGCCGAGATCGCGCCATTGCACTCCAGCCTGGGTAACAAGAGCGAAACTCCGTCTCAAAAAAAAAAAAAAAAACTCACTTCCTGTATGAGGGCCTTTTCCCTCAGCCACCACCAACACTGGATTCCTCAATCCTTCCTATTTTTGCCAAACTGATGGTTGCAAATGAAAACTTGTTCTGAATCGCATTTTAATTTTTTTATTAAAGTTTTTTTTTAATTTTAGAGATGGGGTCTCGCTGTGTTGCCCAGGCTAAAGTACAGTGGCTATTCACAAAAGTGATCACAGTTCACTGCAGCCTCCAACTCCTAAGCTCAAGTGATCCTCCTGCCTTAGCCTCCCAATTAGCTGGTACTACAGGCACATACCACTGGGCCTGGCTGCACATTTTTTTTTTTCTTGATTGAGCCTGAAGATTTTTTTCATTTAAATACTGACTACTTACATTTTTTTTGGTCTATTTTTCTATAGGTTGTTGGTCTTTCCTTTACTGAATTGAAAGACTTAAGTTGTCTAGATTTTAATCTGTTGTGTGTTACAGGATTACAAAACCTATTACCCGCCTTTTAACTTTGTTTATGGTAGCTTTCACTAGACACATTCAGAGTTTTCACGCAGTAAGATGTGTAACTCCTTTCCTTTACCGTTTTTGGGTTTTGTGGCTTACTTGGGAATTCCCTCACCACCCTATCATTATAAAACACTGTTCTTTTGCTTATTTTATAGCTGTATTTTTTTTAAATAAGGTTTTTTATATCATTTGGAATTTATTTTTTGTATATGGAACGTGGTATGAACTCAACTTTTACCCCATATGAATATCCAACTGGCCCAACACTACTGAACTATAATCTGACTCAATGCCTCCCCTATCATAAGACTGTATTTCCACATAAACAAGAATCTGTTTGGGGACCATTATCTTCCTCTAATCACTCTACCTATCTGCATGCTAACAGCACTCTGTTTTAATGACCTTTATGCTATGTTTTAAATGGACCAACCCCATCTCTCATTATTCATTTCAACACTTCCTTGCAGACTATACTTCTAGTTGAACTTTAGAATCAGCTTGTCAAAGCTTCATGAAATGTGATCAGTCTTCCTTTTAAGGAGAAGCAGCACTTCTGCAGTATTGAGCCTGCTCATCCTGAAAGCCTTCGGGTTTCTTTCAGCTCCATTCCTCAAATAATGTGTAGCAGCCATTCAAAAAATACATGTGGAATAAAAATAAGTTTCATGATTTTTGTAATCATTTTACAGATATTTTATTAGGATCACTGCTGTATAATTTACAGTTTTCGCTGCTACAATAAAAGGAACACTTTTTCCATTAAGCTTTGAAACTGGTTGTTGTGGGCATCCAAGAAAGCAACTGTTTTTGTATGTTTATCTTTTTCTTTTTAAAGAGACAGGGTTTCACTCTGTCAGCCAGGCTGGAGTGCAGTGGCACAATCAGAGCTCACTGCAGCCTAGAACTCCTCAACTCAGGCGATCCTCCCACCTCAGCCTCCAGAGTAGCTGGGACTACAGGCATGCAATACCATGCCTGGCTAAATTATTTTTTTTTCTTTTTATAGAGACAGAGTCTCACTAGGTTGCCCACGCTGGTCTTGAACTCCTGGGCTCAAGTGATCCTCCCATTTCAGCCTTCCAAATAGCTGGGATTACAGGTGTGAGCCACCACCTGGTTTGAACTATCATTTCTAATAGTTTCTTAGTTCTCTTGGATATCCAGTTTAATAGTTATGCCGTCTACAGTAATGCTAACTTACTTTCTTTCTTCCCAATATAAATACACCTCACTTCTTTTTAAGAATGCTTTGCCTTGGCAAGGCCTCCAGAGCTTTGTTAACACAGCACTGATAGTAGGCACTCTTGATTTTTCCTATGTAATCTACTGCATAAATTACATCAATATCTGTGTAAGTAATCTGTCATTACGTATAACTTTCCTTGTAGGTTTATGATAGCTAACCTCTAGTAATAATCTACTTCTAACTTGCTAGTCATTTTCCCCCCTAATTATTAATGGGAGCTGCATTTTATTTAATTATCTTCAGCATCTATCCGGTTGATCTTTTTTCTTCTTTAATCTGTTAATGTGATGAAATAATATATGCTGGTTAACAGCATGAGTATCTACTACCGTGGATCAGCCAGATGTGTGCTGAGACCCTGGCTCCACCACTTGTACAAGCTCTGTGCCCATGGCCACGACTTACTTGATCATACTAAGCTTCAGGTTCTCCCATCAATAAAGTAGGAATAATATCCAAGGGAAGTAAAGAGGTTGGCCCTTTGTCAATAAAGACTGGCCCAACAAATATTAGCTCTTATTAGTAAGGATACATTTCCTAATGTTGAGCCCTTTACAGGTAAATTTCCTAACGTTGAGCTCTTTACAGCCCTTTACAGGTAAGGTACAGAGAGGAGGGTGAGTAAGCTCACAGAAACCAACCACTAAAACTAGGATGGATTTCTAATGTTCAGGTTTCCACAGTTCATGAACCAATGATTGGAATCAGGGGTGAGAGGCACGAACTCCCTGTAAAATGGCAAAACATTTTAAGTATATATGCAGTTTCCTGGAGAGTTCACAGCTTTTTACAAAGGAGTCTATATCCCGGAAATGTTAACTACCTGATGTGGGGACGGGGAGGAAGTGTAACACAGATGTTAACTGCTGCATGGGGGAAACCAGGCACACTGTCAGTGGAGGAGGCCTCCCCTAATTCACGCCTCGGGTTTCAGTAGATGGCTGATGTGGAAGGGAATCCCAAAAGAGCTTTCCCACCATTTGTCTTTGAGTACTCTTTCAAAAGTGTGAATACATAACCATGTCACATCTCTGCAGAAATGTGTGGACAGACTGGTAAGAGCAAGGAAAAAAAGTTAAGTGCCCAGCACAAGGGTGCCTGCATGGAACGAAGCTGAGCCTCATACTTCATGCTTTCACAGGCTGAGAGAAGAAAAAGATCTCACAGACCATTCCTGGTTGGTATTTTTTATTTAACTTTCTTTAAGCTAATTGATTTCAAACCAGTTCATCTCCTAAACCTCTATAACCCATTATCTCCAACAAATGGTGATCAGATTGACTCAGTGATAAGCAGAAAATTGTGTGGCTGGGCCTGATGGCTAATGCCTGTTATCCCAGCACTCTGAGAGGCCAAAGCGGGTGGATCGCCTGAGATCACGTGAGATTGAGCCTGGCCTGGCCAACATGGTGAAACCCCATCTCTACTAAAAATATAAAAATTAGCTGGGTGTGGTGGCACACGCTTGTAATCCCAGCTGCTTTTGAGGTTGAGACAGGAGAATCACTTGAACCCGGGAGGTGGAGGTTGCAGTGAGATGAGATTGCACCACTGCACTACAGCCTGGGCGACAAGAGTGAAATGCCATCTCAAAAAAAAAACTGTGAATTGTTACTATGGACAAGGAGTGAGCAGGGGCAAAAGAAAATGCCTCTGGACGGACATTTTCCAGGGGCATTTTCTTTTGCCCCTGCTCACTCCTCACGGACACTCAGTAGGGCCACAGAGTTCACTGCTTTTTATAAAGGGGTCTATGTCCAGGAAGGTCGTATACGCAGATTCAAAGATGTGACCTTTGGCCTTCTGTGGTTTCTTCTACTGCATTTTATAAAAATGATTGATATCAATTTTTTCTAAGACATGATTACAAAAAAAGGTTCAAATATAATTACCTTTGTTTCTTTCTGTATGGGACTGCACTATTTTTGTCTGGTTTGAGGAGTTTGGGAATAGGGAACAGGACTCCACTATGTCAACATACAACTCTTCTAACAGGAGTCACAAAAAACACTTAGAGAAAAGCAACATATATCCTTCTTACCTGCCTAGGTGTTCAGAGCTCGGACTGACCAGGTACATTAGATTCCTGAGGGTATGCAGTGGTTGTAATTGATCTAAATTTACATGCTAAAAAAATTAAAGAATTGGTTAATATTTTCAATTATTTAAGAAAGTAAAAATTAGTTCACAACGTATTTTTCATACCTGAGAAAAACAAAGATAAAGAATATTTGCATTCAGTTTCTTCACTGCTCGGGTAAATTTCTGCTTGCTTAGATTTTCGCCACAAAATTCACTGTAAAACAAACATACAATTTATAAAGCTGTATTTTTTTTTTTTTGAGGAAATTCTATGTTAAAATTTCTATTTACAGTACAATTAGGTGTAACACATACCCTGTGCCCTTTGCCGGCCTTAGTAAATTACACTTAACAAAGAGTTTTTCTGTTTCTTTTTTTTTTTTTAAGACAGAGTTTCGCTCTTGTTACCCAGGCTGGAGTGCAATGGCACGATCTCGGCTCACCGCAACCTCCGCCTCCTGGGTTCAGGCAATTCTCCTGCCTCAGCCTCCTGAGTAGCTGGGACTACAGGCATGCACCACCATGCCCAGCTAATTTTTTGTATTTTTAGTAGAGATGGGGTTTCACCATGTTGACCAGGATGGTCTCGATATCTTGACCTTGTGATCCATCCGCCTCGGCCTCCCAAAGTGCTGGGATTACAGGCGTGAGCCACCGCGCCCAGCAACAAAGACTTTTTAACAGAACAATTATATTGCATTTACACAAATCACAAATGCACATCCCCTTCCACCAAGCAATTCCACTTCAGGAAATTTATTCTACACAAATATCTGAAACACTTAACAAATATCTGAAACACTAATGAAATGAAAAATAGACAAGATTATTTCTTGAAGTATCAACAGCAGACTGGTAAGATCTTGATACCTTTATAGAAAGGAAAACTATACAACTGTCATCTACTTTACACAGAATGACAGCCAAACGCTTACATGGCCCTATGAGGCCCATAAGATCTGCACCCCGTCTTCCTCTCTACCCTCGGTATTCCAGCCAGGACACTGCAATTGCCATTCTTTTTGCCTGCAGCCTCTTTCCTAAGGGGTCCACACAGCTCCCTCCCTCCCTCCCTCCCTCCGGTTCCGGGGGATTACGTACCTGCCCACTCAAACACAGCAAGCCCCTCTCTCACACATTCCCTTTCTCTTACCTTTTTTGTTTTTTATAGGCAGGGTCTCATTCTGTCACCCAGGCTGGCAGCAGTGGTGTGATCATAGCTCACTGCAGCCTGCACCCTCAATCTCTTGGGCTTAAGTGATCCTCCCACCTCAGCTCCCCATGTATCTGGGACTATAGTTCTGCGCTACCACACGCAGCTAATTTTTTTTTTTTTTTTTTAATTTTTAGTAGTGACGAGGTCTCACTATGTTGTCCAGGCTGGTCTCAAACTCCTGCGCTCGTGATCCTCCTGCCTCAGCTTCCCAAAGTGCTGGCATTACAGGCAGGCATGAGCCGCCCTCTCATCCTGTTTTAATGTGCTCCACAGCATTTACTGCCATTTGACGTGCTGTTGATTTGTTTACTATTTATGTTGGCTCGAGCCCTCCATGAAAATGTGAGCTCCAAGATGGTAGGGATTATTTTTTTGTCACCAGTGTGCCCTCCAGTTCCTACAACAGTGCTGGCACACAGTGGGAACTTCATTAACATTTGTTACTAACTAAAAACTTTAAAAGCAAAGTGTAAAACATTATAGTATAGCATACTACCATCTGTGTTTAAAGGGGGAAGATGGTGGCTGGGTACAGTGGCCCATGCCTGTAATCCCAGCACTGTGGGAGGCGGGAGGGGGCAGATTGCTTGAACCCAGGAGTTCGAGACAAGCCTGGGCAACATAAAGAAACCCTGTCTCATGCAAAAAATCCAAAAAAATTAGCCAGGTGTGGTGGCATGCGCCTGTAGTCCCAGCTACTTGGGAGGCTGAGGCAGGAGGATTGCTTGGGCCCGGGGAGGGGTGAAGGTGGCAATGAGCTGAGATCATGTCACTGCACTCCAGCCTGGGCGACAGAGTGAGACCCTGTCTCAAGAAAAAAGAAGAAAGAAAACTTCTAAATTTTCTTAAAAATTAAAAAGAAAGGCCGGGCGCGGTGGCTCAAGCCTGTAATCCCAGCACTTTGGGAGGCCGAGGCGGGTGGATCACGAGGTCAAGAGATCGAGACCATCTTGGTCAACATGGTGAAACCCCGTCTCTACTAAAAATACGAAAAAATTGCTGGGCATGGTGGGGCGTGCCTGTAATCCCAGCTACTCAGGAGGCTGAGGCAGGAGAATTGCCTGAACCCAGGAGGCGGAGGTTGCGGTGAGCCGAGATCGTGCCACTGCACTCCAGTCTGGGTAACATGAGTGAAACTCTGTCTCAACAAAAAAAAAAAAAAAAAAAAAAAATTAAAAAGAATAAGAATTTTTTAAAGTGGGACAAGATGATAATGTGTATGCTTTAAACGCAATGACACAGCTGGACGGTACTAGGATGGTTGTAGTGCAGACTGGGTAGACTGTGTATCTTTAAATTTTTTTGAATTTTATTTATTTATTTTTGAGACAGAGTCTCACTCTGTCACTCTGGCTTGAGTGCAGTGGCGGGATCTTGGCTCACTGCAACCTCAGGCTCCCAGGTTCAAGTGATTCTCCTGCCTCAGCCTCCAAGTAGCTGGGATTACAAGCACCCACCATCACGCCCAGCTAGTTTTTGTATAAATGTTCTGAATTTTAAACCACGTAAATTTTTTATTTAAAGCAACAACAACAAACAAACAAAAAGAATTCAGGGCAGGGCACGGTGGCTCACCTGTAATCCCAGCTCACCTGTAATCCCAAATTTACTTTGGGAGGCTGAGGCAGGCGGATCGCTTGAGGTCAGGAGTTCAAGAGCAGCCTGGCCAACATGGCAAAACCCCCTCACTCCTAAAAATACAAAAATTAGCCAGGCATGGTGGTGGGTGCCTGTAATCCCAGCTACATGGGAGGCTAAGGTGGAAGGATTGCTTGAACCTGTGAGGTGGAGGCTGCAGTGAGCAGAGATTGCACCCCTGTGCCCCAGCCTAGGTGACAGAGCAAGACTCGGTCTCAAAACACCACCACCACCACCAAAGAATTCAATGGTTACAATTTAACATGAGTATCTGCAGCAAACCCTTGAATATCCTGGTACTTCCCTTTATATTCTCTTTGGTCTTCTCAAAGACTTCATGTACAATTGTAAGATAATCAAACAAATTAGCACATAAAGCTTTTGAAGTTAATCTCAATATTTCAATCAGACCTTCTCAGTCTTGATAATACTTACATTCTTATTTTTGGTTTACTGGAATAAATGAGGACAAAATAGAAACTTGAAAGAGCTATGATAAAGGTGACAACATCGCCTTCAATTACTTGCCTGTTGCACAGCTTTTTGGGAAGATTTACATCAAGTATATGAGACAGAATGTTGACCAGCTGAGTTGCATAGCATAGCGCAGCACTGATGGTGTAGGCAGGGTTACTCTGCTCCATGTCTGCAGTATGAAAACAACCACCATGGACAAAACCTTCATTCCAACAACATTCTAATGATCCAAGAGTTGATCATAAAGACTTTATCATGATAGCACTGTTACGTTTTAGTCCTTACTCAACAGATACTCCATGACCAGACATAAACGGCCCATTGTTTGTATTTTGCTGAGCAATGCAACAGAGCAAATGGGCCTAAATAGGCCCAGCATAAATGAAATTAAAGTCTGACCTGTGTGAATCTGATAATGTAATATCAGAATAAATGCCCAACATGAATGTCACCTCCCCGGAAAGGCCTCTCCTGACAACCCTATGAAAGAGTCAGCCCTTCCTCTGTACCCCATCCTGCCCCAGGATGCTCCCCTAATTCCTTCCATGGCACTCACTCCATGTACAGCACCTTGATCATTTACTTGCTTCCTGCCTTTCTCCCCTGAGAAGGGGAAAAGGCCACATCTGTCTTGGTCACCTTTGTATGTCCAGCACCCAGCAATGTGCATGAGCTCACTAAATATTTAATGAGTGACTGCAAACAATCTTTCTCCACCAAAGAGAAACTGTAGGGTTTTAAAGGGTTTTCCATTGGGGGATTTCAATCTCCATTTAGGACTACTAAAACACATTACAAAGTTATACACTAAAAATACAGGTTTCAACAGGTTAAATATACTTCTTTAAATAATGTCTTCTTATATAAACCAAGCAATATTGACCCCCAAAAAGTGAGACATCTAAAAAATATTTTCAGTCCATCAAGTGATGAATGAATAAAACAAAATATGGCTTATTTATCCATACAATGGAATTCATTAAAAGGAATGAAATAATAATATATGCAAATCATGTGGACGAACCTTGAAAATATCATGCTAAGTGAAAGAAGTCTGACAAAAAAGGCCATAGATTTGATGATTCCATTGATATGAGTTGCCCAGAACAGGCAAATCAGGCAAAACAGACACAGCAAGCGGATTTGTAGTTGCCAGGCGCTGAGGGGAAGGGAGAGTGGGGGAATGTGACACTTTCATGCCATGGGGTTTCTGTCTGGGATGATCGAAATGTTTTGGAATGACATGGAGGTGATGGAAGCCCACGCTGGGAAGGGACTAAATGCCCCTGAATTGTTCGTTTGAAAGCTGTTCATTTTGTTACGTCAATTTTACCTAGAACTCTCTATCTAGATTTCAAAGGATATGCAGCTTCTCACCAGGCCCCTGGGTTGTTTTCTTCTCCTCCACCCAGCTGTAGTAGGCAGAGTAGTCCCCGTTGTTCGGGAGGCTAATCCAAGGCCCTGTAATGCTAATGCTGGTGTCTCCATTGTGATCATCGCAGACCCATCGTCCTGAGAGGTAAGTTGTCCTCCGAGCTTCAGCAAGCTTGCTCACAGTGCTGGAGGTCATGGCACTGTCACTCTCTGAAGACACATCTGCGGGATCTCTACAAGTCAGAAGACACATACAGATTTCAAGAGGGGATTTTCAAGGGCATGCAACATACTCACAACACAAGCTAGAACGTCAAAGAGCTGCATGTGAGCACAGGAATTCTACCTTAGTTTTTATTTTTTTATTTTTAGAGATGGGTGTCACTCTGTTACCCAACATGGAGTGCACTGACAGATGCAATCATGGCTCACAGAAACCTTGAACTCCTAAACTCCAGAGATCTTCCTGCCTCAGCCTCCTAAGTAGCTGGGATTACAGGCACCTACTACCAAACCTGGCTAACTTAAAACATTTTTTTGTAGAGATGAGGTCTCACTTTGTTGCCCAGGCTGGTCTTGAACTCCTGGCCTCAAGCAATACTCTGAAAGTGCTGAGATTATAATCATGAGCTACTGTGACAGGCCAAAGTGCAAATATTTCAGTCGTGAGCCATCATACCTGGCCAGGGATTTAACTGGAATATATGTAGGTAAGAACTTGCTATCGGAGATGAGGATCAAACCAGCTGTGGCACAGAAGCCCACACACTGTGAGGAAGATGGAACCAAGAGGTGGGGTCGAATGTAGCAGGTCCTCCAACTATTTGGTCTCAGCACCCCTTTACATGCTTAAAACACTTTGGAATCCCAAAGAACTTTTGTTTACATGGGTTAGATTACTGATACTTACTGTATTAGAAACTGAGGAAAAATTTAAATAATTCATTCAGACATATCAATAAACCTATTAAACCTGTTAAACATTTTTATGAAAAAAATCTTTTCAAAACAAAAAATTAGTAAAGAGTGACACTGTTTTACATTTTTTAAACTCTCTGTAATACTCAAGTCTTTCTGCCAAGTAAAAATAGCATCCCACAAAAACAGCAGCTAGTTCAGCTTGCAGCTCAAGCTCCAGTGCTTTTCCCTGCGCCAGCAATGGCCCTTCAGTACGCAGCACCGGGCCTTGTGCCTGCTCGCCGTGCCCTTCTATGCCACAGTCAGCCCTCCGTATTCACAGGCTCCACATTGGAAACCAATTGAGGACTGAAAGAAAAGAAACAACACGGCTAGGTGCCGTGGCTCATGTCTGTAATCCCAGCACTTTAGGACGTCAAGGCGGGTAGATCACTTGAGGTCAGGAATTTGAGACCAGCCTGGTCAACACAGTGAAACCCCATCTCTACTAAAAATACAAAAATTAGCTAGGTGTGGTGGTAGGTGCCTGCAATCCCAGCTACTTGGGAGGCTAAGGCGGGAGAGCTGCTTGAACCCAGGAGGCAGAGGCTGCACTGAGCCGAGATTGTGCCAGTACACTCCAGCCTGGGCGACAGAGCAAGACTCTGTCTCAAAATACAAACAAACAAAAAAAAAAACTAAGAATAACAAAAAATAACAAGCCCACCATGATGGCTCATGCCTGTAATTTCAGTGCTTTGTAAGGTCAAGGCAGGAGGATTGCTTAAGCCCAGGAATTCAAGGTTATAATGAGCTAAGATCACATCACTGCACTCCAGCCTGGGCAACAGAATGAGACTCCCCCACAAATCAAAAAACAAACCCACCATGAAAAGTCACAGCAGGTATAAATGCAGTGACGGGGAAGAACACAGCGAACTTGGGGAACAGAGATGTTCAGTGTGGCTGGTGTGTGGGACACACAAGGGAAGTGCCAGGAGATGGGACTGGAACAGCAGGCAGGAAGCAAGCGGACTGGGGAACGCCTTCCGTGCTGCTCAAAGTTTAGATTCTGTCCTCTTGGCCCGTGGTTCTTCCTATCTTTCCTTCTGCCACAACATACGTGTAAGATAACTGCTACCAGCTGTCACAGATAAGCCTGGCCAATTCTGAGCTGTACTGCTACCTCTCCCTCCTCCCACAAGAAGTTAAGAGAAACACAAACAAGAAATCTTACTATAAGGATAACTTTAAAACCATCAACTTCTTTTGAAAAAAACGAATGGCATATAATAATTTACACTAAACAAAAGATTAAAACAGCACAGAGGTAGAGTTCTTCTTCATGTTCTCTCTTTGTGTGTGTTTTCTTTTGGAAAAAATGTCAGCCTTACAGAAAAGCGTCAAGAACTTTAAAGTTTCCTTGTATACACTTCACTCAACTTCCCCAAAGTATCAATTCAGGAAAATATTCTACAATAATCACAACCAGAGAATCAGCACTGCTACAACACTGTTAACTAATTTACAGACCTTACTCCTCTCTCCAACTGTCCTACTAATCTCTCTTCTGGGGTACAGGATCCAAGATCACATACTGCACTCAGCTGTCAGTCTCCTAAAAACCTGATATTTGGCTCTATTTTGAATCTGCCTTTTTATGTTTCTATTTGCCAACTCTTACTAATGACAAATTACTTAGAGTCAGAGAGCAGGTTCTCAAGCTAGAAGAGGAATCAGTCTTTTTGGCTTTTAGGAAGCCAACTCTGGCAACAGACTAAAGGACAGACTGGAGAGAATAGTTATGAAACTAGCAACAGTCCACTGAGTGTCAAGTTTCCAGGGAAAGCTGCTGGAGAGTGGGAGCAGCCAGAGTGACAGGAAAATCCTCAACTAGAGCAGCCCGGCGGCTTGTGGGAATAAATGAAAGCCGGTGGTAGCTGTCAAACCTGCTGATCAGCAGTAGCATCAGAGAAGTTTAAAGATACAGAAGTATTACAAGTTGGACTGGCAGGTTGGAGGGGTACCCTCTAGAACCTTTATTTCTCAGATGAACAGCCAGATGGGGGAACCACTGTCCTGTTCATCCCACCAGAGGTTATCCATGCACTACTGCCTAAGATTAAAGTCACAGTATTTAGTGTTCAATAGCAGTTAACACAATAAATAGCAGTCACCAGGAAAAGGTTAAGTCAACATGTAGTGCCCACCATCTAAGAGACCCAAGCTCTAGATGTTTTCTTATGTATTTGCTCATGATTTCTCTGTGAAAGAGCATTTTTAAATCCCCATTTGTCAGACAAGGAAATCAAGACTTTGAGGTCCAAGAAGATGCTTCACAAAACACAACTAATAAATGGCCCAATATCACCCATCAGATAGTTTTTTTTTTTTTGGAGATAGAGTCTTGCTCTCTCGCTCAGGCTCAAGTGCAGTGGCATGATCTTCACTCACTGCAACCTCAGCCTCCTGGGTTCAAGCAATTCTCCTGCTGTACTGTAGCTGGGACTACAGGTGCGTGCACCACGCCTGGCTCATTTTTGTATTTTTAGTAGAGATGGGGTTTCATCATATTGGCTTGGCTGGTCTCAAACTACTGACCTCTCAGGTGATCTGCCCGCCTTGGCCTCCCTAAGTGCTGGGATTACAGGTGGGAGCCACCACACCTGGCCATCAGGTGGTTCTTAATTAGAAGTGTGAGTCAGCACCTCACCTCGAAGCTCTGGGATAGTACACAAGCCTGGGCCCCACCCCTCACCTGGCTGCCTCGCCAGCTTTGCGCAGTGTGCACTGTTTGTTGAAGCAGATAAGACTTATGTTCCATCACCGGGAAAACCAATGACCCTAGAATAAGGCCCAAGAAATAAGGTGCTAACATACTTCAAAAAGTATTTGGAACTTGATCTATTCCTGGAGTGAAAAGATTTGCTGAATGTACCTCACACTAGTCTTTACTTCCTCGATTGGGAAAATGACGGAAGTGAGCTCTAATATATGGGATCGTCGAAGATTTGCCAGACGCTCATAATGACTTCGTAAGTCAACGGTCTTTTTCTCTACCAGGTCACCAAGTCTGCGATTATGCCTCTGAATCTTCTCCTTTTTCTCCTGGTGCCGCTGTGCTCGACTGTAAAGCTTCTGATTCTTCTCCTTGGTTTTGAGAAGACCTTCAGAATCTAAAATAAATAAATCACACCCAACAATTATGTCTGCAAACAGTTCCTATGCACTGCAGAGCTCCACCCCACAAACATACATGTTTCCCCTTGCAATCTAAACTGAAAGCAAAACCTCAATAAAATCAACTCATGTTCACTAAGTGAAAATTTTGAGAGTTTAGTTCAAGCAGACATTACACATAAGGGAAAGAGAACCATGATTAAAATGACTCTGTTACCGCAAATCAACAGGAAGTTGGGTAACAAAAAATAAAATAAAATAAAATGACTCTGGATCTCCATGTGTACTCATCCTTAGTAAATGGAGTCACTCGATGACTGTCAAGTTTAAGTTTAGCACAGGAAGGACCTGATTTTCCTAAAGTGAGCACCAAAGAATAGTCATATTGGGCAGAAAAGAGATCTACTTCAAGTTTGAAAAACTTACTGGCTATCTGATTTCCTGAGAAACCTCTTAGGTGTGCCCTGGATTATAACCAGAGAACCCAGGGATAATCCCACAGCAAATGGTTATCCAGTAGCGAAGAGCAACAGAAACAGCCCAAGAGCTCTTCTTCAAAGTCACAGTGCAGTATGGCAGCAACCGGCAGGGTGGGTGGGAACATATCTGGTGAAGTATCCGGAACGCACATGCCCAGCATTTTAAGTGCTGCAGGGGAAACAAAGCCTGGCCACACAACCAGGAGAGGAGACACACACTTGCCCTGTCAGATTTGGGTCCTTTTTGTGGAGTTCCTTTGAGTTCTGGACCCTACACCTGCTAGCTACACCTGTTGGGCTATAGTGAAACTTCACTTGAATGACAGAAACAAGCTGTAAACTCTCAGACAGGTATCTAGGAGTTGCTCAGGCAACTTAAACCCAAGTTCAAAACCAAGTCCATTATTTTTCCAGGAAAATCTCCAGTTTCCCTACTTCAAGATTATTTTTGACTTGTCCACTGCCTAATCAATCCTTTGATGGTCAATTCCATTACCAGTCTAAGTCTTTCTATCTAGACCTTTCTTTTTATTCCTATTATCACAACCCTAGTTAATGCTCACCAAAAGTCTGCCTATCTCCAGCATGGCTCGACTCCAAGCCTTCATGCCCTTTTTCACTTGCTCAGTCTTTATAAATTGTAGTCAATGCTCAGTGGTTCTCTACTCCCCATCAATAGTCATCACTTCCTGACACTCATACTATCTATTTGCTCCTGTTTTCTAAATGTTCAAATTTTACTCGTTCAGGAAGGCCCCTCCATAAACACTCCCCAGACCTTTTGCTCCTCAGAACCCTATGGTAATGTGTTTGGATGCCTCTGATGGCACATAGCTCTTGCTTTCGTATATGAGGTCCCACAGAAGCCTTGCTGTCTCCTAATTAGGATATAAAAAGCACCTGATAAATGTCTGTGGATCAAAATCATCCTCCCACCCTCTTTCATGGAGCATCACTGAACTTAGGTATTTGGTTGCAGGCCTTAGATTTCTGACAGTTTTTCTGTTTGAAGACGGAGTTTCACTCCTGTTGCCCAGGCTGGAATGCAGTGGCACAATCTCAGCTCACTGCAACCTCCGCCTCCTGGGTTCAAGTGATTCTCCTGCCTCAGCCTCCCGAGTAGCTGGGATTACAGGCACATGCCACCACACCCAGCTAGTTTTTGTATTTTTAGTAGAAATGGGGTTTTGCCACATTGGCTGGGTTGGTCTCAGACTCCTGCCCTCTAAGTGATCCATCTGCCTTGGCCTCCCAAAGTGTTGGGATTACAGGCGTAAGTCACTGTGCCCGGCCGATTTCTTAGTTTTGAAACAAAAATCAGCCAGGTGTCGTGGTGGGTGCCTGTAATCCCAGCTACTTGAGAGGCTGAGGCAGGAGAATCGCTTCACCCCGGGAGACAAAGGTTCCAGTCAGCCGAGATGGCACCACTGCGCTCCAGCCTGGGTGACACTACATCTCAAACATCATCATCATCATCATCATCATCTCTTCGTCATCCCTGCTCAATGTGAATGTCCTAAAGGTTCAGTCTCTTGGTTCCACCACTTGCTAACTTATTCTCATAATCTTTACTGAGCTCTTTACAAGTGCTGAAATGAATCTACCCGGCCATGATCCTGAGTCATACAGTGGTGAGATTTTTGGGGAGGACTCTATTTCAAATTTATGATCATGACCACTCACAGGTGACAGGAAATCATCAGTCACCCCATCTGCACCCAGTGCAGACTCAGCACCCAGTCATCCTTCTCTCCCTGCCATCTCCCTCAAACATCAAGATGTTTGGTGCTGTATCTGTATCTTCTCTTGCTTCTTTGTAACTCTGACTATAGCACAGATCAACTCAACACTGCAACTGCATATAACCTAACTTCCCTATCTATGCCACATGATATATCTATATTATACCATATAATGTGCATCATGACCCCTTAAGTCAAAAGATTCTAGATAATTCATCAGTCTCTACAAGTAATTTAGAATTTGCACCCTTTTGTGAATACATGTCATAATTGACAACAACAAAAAGACTATTGGGTAGCAAGCTCTTAAGGATGAGTTCCAAGCATAGCTTCCGGAATCCATTAACACCTTTAAAAGTGTTTGCAAATTTTTAAAGTCTGGGCTAGAGGGTGGAAAGGAGACTGTATTTACATTCTACAGAGCAGCAGTTCCCAACCCTGGCAGGTCATCAGAACCACTTGGAGTAGTGCTATTCAAGTGTGGCTTCTAGATCTGGGCCCATCTGTAAACTGTTACCAGTTATGAAGAGAGGAGGACAGAGATACAGAATATGCACGTGGAAGCTTTTTTCTTCAACACGGCGATCTGACATTGCAATAACATGCAAGCATGTGATCATTTTCCTAAGTCCAGGATAGATCCCAGGGTTTTCTCTCTAGATTTTAGAAGGGTCACCAGGTGACTGATGATTAGCTGGGGATAAAAACCACTAGGGTCCACTCCTTCACTTCTATGTCTAATTCTTTGTGGTGGTGGTTTTTATTTTGGGGAGTCAGGAATGAGTTAAAAACAGCTAATCAGAGCTTTTAACCTGCTCATCAGAGAGACAGGCATGGTCAGTAAATTGAGCAATTTCAGGAGGTTCACAGACCTCCTGTGAAAAAACTCAGGTGGCAAAGCCCTGAACATCATGGGAAGATGGGGAGTGCGTGAACTAATGTTAAGGAATGGGTTCTTATGTTGCTACTGAACCAGAGCCTTTGGAGATCGCATGCAAGACTGGGTGGAAAGTGTGTTCTAGAGAGTTCTGTGCACTTTCCACTGGGCTGCCCTAATTCTCTAGCAATCCCATGAAACTCCACGTGAGCACTTTATTAGGACAAATGTTTTCAACAGAAGCTTTACACCATTACATGCCACTATAAAAGACTTGCTTCTGGAAGCAATGAGTAGACGAGAAAGGGATTCACGAGGTCTGACGGTGACTCATCCTAAACTTTAAACACTGATCTTCAGAAATTCATGGACTGTAGCTCACTGCTGGCGTTCATTTAATGTTACATAAACACACTCTTGAGTCTGAAATAAATCTCATTTTCAGTGTGAAAATAAAACATAAAAGCTTTTCTTGGAATTATTTCTAAACAGAACATGTCTCTAATCTTAATGTAACAGAAATGTATATGATGTTTTATTAGGGTTAGAGACAAAAGTACTCTTGGGGCAAATGGGAAATAGGTTAAGGATGTAGGATTTCTAAGAGAATTCATTTTGACAACGGCCTATGATAAAGTATAAAGTGTACAAATGTGATGTAAAATTGATACAGATTAAAATGTGGAGACTCACTAAGGGAAAAAATCCCAATATTCTGTGCTTTTGCCATGAGCCAATAATTATTACAACAGAGTACGAAGTTAGACTCTGAGCTTCCTGTTAGGCAAGGCAAATAGAAACATACCTTCCTTAACTTTTTTTTTTGAGGCAGAGTTTCGCTCTTGTTGCCCAGGCTGGAGTGCAATGGCGTGATCTTGGCTCACTGCAACCTCTGCCTCACGGGTTCAAGCGATTCTCCTGCCTCAGCCTCTCGAGTAGCTGGGATTACAAGCACCTGCCACCATACCTGGCTAATTTTTATATTTTTAGTAGAGACAGGGTTCGCCATGTTGGCCAGGTTGGTCTCGAACTCCTGACCTCAGGTGACCCACCTGCCTCGGTCTCCCAAAGTACTGGGATTACAGGCATTAGCCACCACGCCTGGCCAACTTCTTTAATTAAGGATCTGGTTATTTAAGGCCTCTGTAATTGTGTATTTGATTTTTAAAAATTCCTTACACAAACGTTTTACAAGGGAAGATGAAGGCAAGTAGTAAACTTCTCCAAGTTGCCACTGCCCCATCCCTTGCTTTCTTTCTCGGTCCCTCTAGTTTATTAATCCCACGAAATTCCACCTGGGCGCTTTCGAGGGCTGGAAGAAAGCGGGCGAATTACTTACTTTTCTTCATTTCTTCATTTCCTTTACATATTGTTTGTTTCAACTGTTCAATCCTCATCTTGCAGGACATTATTTTCCACCTCTGAAAAAAGCATGTAATAAATGTTACAAACGTTGGTCTCTTATGATTAATATGATTACCTATCTGGGATCACTACTTATTTTCAGGTATGTCAGAAAACCTAACGAAGAAAAGGGCACTATAAGTATGTTTGCTACAGTTTTGTAACTATGGAAGATTACGAAAAAGAGAACAATGTTTTTCTGGTTCAATGCAGAAAAAAGAGAAATTAAGGGAAATTATGAGAAAGAAATGCACATAGTTCTTTTGCATTTGTCAGTGAAAGAAAAAAGTTGCAGGACATTCTCTAAACCCTCTCTGTCTATACAGTTACTAGCCACATGTGGTTACTTAAAACTCAATTTACATCATACCAATTCAAAAAATTCACACCGCCCTCATGTCAAATGTTTGACATCACATGTGGCTTGTGGTTGCTGGGTTGGACAGCAAAGATACACAACACAGGCATCAACACAGAGTCCTACTGACGTACTGCTACAATCCTCTAATGCTGGTTACTGAGGAGACGGTTAACATAACCAAATCATCTCACCCAATAAGCAAATAGTGCTTACAAGTTAATAAAAATGGCAACAAAACAAACATTATTTTTTCAGTGCATAACTCAAGTAAGAGCTCCTGAAAAGCCTCAGAAAAGGATACAAAACATGAAACTACCTCTTTATATTACCAGGAGTTAGGTTCAGCATCCCCTAAAGCAGCAGTCCCTAACCTTTTTGGCACCAGGGACTGGTTTTGTGGAAGACAATTTTTCCACAGACAGGGTGGGGGATGGTTTACAGGGATGAAACTGTCCCACCTCCGATCATCAGGCATTATTTTCTCCTAAGGAGTGCACAACCCAGATCCCTTGCACGTGCAGTTCATAACAGAGCTCATGCACCTATGAGAATCTAACGCCACAGCTGATCTGACAGGAGGTGACGCTCAGGTGGTAATGCTCGCTCGCCCTACTCTCTCCTGCTGTGCAGCCCGGTTCCTAACAGGCCATAGACCAGTAGCCGTATGTGCTCCAGGGATGGGCACCCTTGCCCTGAAGTGAACAGAGGATCAGTAAAAATAGGATCTATGGGCCAGCTGCAGTGGTCACACCCGTAATCCCAGCACTTTGGGAGGCCGAGCAGGTGGATCACAAGGTCAGGAGTTTGAGACCATCCTGGCCAACATGGTGAAACCCCGTCTCTACTGAAAATACAAAATTTAGCTAAGCATGGTAGTACATGCTTATAATCCCACTACTCGGGAGAGGCTGAGTCAGGAGAATCGCTTGAACCAGGGAGTCACAGGTTGCAGTGAGCCAAGATCATGCCACTGCACTCCAGCCTCGTGACAGCAAGACTCCGAAACTCTGTCTCAAAAAAAAAAAAAAAAAGATCTATGGCCCAGTGCAGCCACTCACACCTGTAATCCTAGCCTTTGGGAAGCTAAGGCAGGCAAATCACTTGAGCTCAGGAGTTCAAGGCCAGCCCAGGCAACATGGTGAAACCCCGTCTCTACCAAAAATACAAAAAATTAGCCAGGTGTGGTGACATACGCCTATGGTCCCAGTTACTGAGGAGGTTAGAGTCCAGTGGTGTGATTACAGCCTCACTTCAGCCTTGACCTCCCTGGCTCAAGCAATCCTCCCACCTCAACCTCCCGAGTAACTGAAACTACAGGTACTACCAAACCTCACTAATTTTTGGTTTTTGTTTTTGTAGATGTGGGGTTTTGCCATGTTGCTCAGGCTGGTCTTGAATTCCTGGGCTCAAGCAATCCACCTCGGCCTCCCAAAGTGCTGGGATTACAGGCATGAGCCACCACCACACCCAGCCCAGATTTTATAAGAGCAATTTATATTTAAGATACATACTCACATAAATGGAATTACACTTTACCCTACTTTACTTTTTTCATTAATAAATACAACATGGACATCATTACACAGCAATATATGCAGACTGACCACATTATTTTTAACAACTACACAGTATCATAATTTTTTATCTCATCCTGATTGATGAACATTTGTTTATATACTAGCTTTACCATTATGCTACAATCAGTTTTTTTTTTTTTGCCCATAAATTTCTATATTCATGAGCATTTTCTTAGGAGGAAAATTGCTGGATATACTACATGTGCTTTTTCAAACACTTTTTTTCTTTCATAATTGAGATTTCACTGGTTGTGCTGAAGGTCAGTACACAGACATTTCAATTTGTACACGATTCTTTTTTTTTTTTTTGAGACGGAGTTTCACTCTTGTTACCCAGGCTAGAGTGCAATGGCACGATCTTGGCTCACCGCAACCTCTGCCTCCTGGGTTCAGGCAATTCTCCTGCCTCAGCCTCCTGAGTAGCTGGGATTACAGGCACGCACCACCATGCCCAGCTAATTTTTTGTAGTTTTAGTAGAGATGGGGTTTCACCGTGTTGACCAGGATGGTCTCGATCTCTTGACCTTGTGATCCACCCGCCTCGGCCTCCCAAAGTGCTGGGATTACAGGCTTGAGCCACCGCACCCGGCTGTACACGATTCTTAACATATATACCAGAAATCTAAAAGCCATGTATTTTAATTCTTTTTTAAAGTTATTCCAGTGGCTTTCTAGCTTAAAATCTGCAAACAAATTTCCCTTGAGTTCATCAAGTACCAGTATCTTCACACACTGTTAAGCTGTTACGTATATGTCCCACCAATTCACAACTGAAAAGCATATACGCTACATCTTCAAATTTTCAATCTTTCACAGAACATCAAAAAAGTTATTAGGAAAACAGGACTACCACGACCAGAGCTCAGAGTGTACGCAATTCTGACAGTGAGAGCCATCACTAAGGAGCGGTTTTCTTTAGGCAACAGTTCTACTAAAAACACAGGAATAGAAGTAATTTAAAATGTTCAATACATTAATTAAATGCAGGACTGTGACTTCCTATCGCCATTTAGCATGCTCAGTATTATAGGATATAAAAACTAACCCCCAAGTATGGAATGTTAAGCTGACACCCAGGGCGGTCAAAGCCTCCCATAACTCAGTATTCCACACTATCTTCTGGTTGTAGCAAAAAGTAAACAACCAGAGAATGATTTCACCTCTAAAAAAAAAGCACTGACACTTAAAAAATGGGATAAGGTAGAATTCCCTCCTTCTCAAAAGTGTTTCTAGAGCTACTAAAAAGCTTACATTTACAAAATAGTTGGTAAGGCCGGACATGGTGGCTCATGCCTGTAATCCCAGCACTTTGGAGGCTGAGGTGGGAACATCACCTGAGTTCCAGAGTTTGCAACCAACCTGGTCAACATGGTGAAACCCCGTCTCTACGAAAAATACAAAAACTAGCTGGGCGTGCTGGCATGCGCCTGTAATCCCAGCAACTCGGGAGGCTGAGGCAGGAGAATCACTTGAACCCAGGAGGCGGAGGTTGCAATGAGCCGAGATCGCACCACTGCGCTCCAGCCTGGGTGACAAAGTGAGACTCTGTCTCAAAAACAAAACAAAACCGTTGATTAAAATATTCCTCTACATTAGACAAGGGAGACAGGGACTCCTGACAAGACATGGTATAAGGTATTGATCAGACTTGGCTTGTTTCTCTCTGGCTTCACTGGCAGCGGGTTTCTCCTCAGTTTCTTGCTTTCTGCAGGTCAACCTTCAGTTTCTTGGTTAGTTGCTTCTGCCTTTTTCCCCTTTGCCCCCCTTTTCCCTTTTGTTTGCACTTTTTTGTTTGAAGATTTATTCTTTCCTGCTGCTTCTTCAGCTTTGTTTCCACTTTTGCAGGAGCAGGCTCAGCTGACCACTGTGCCAATCTCCTCTTGGGCTCTTCCTTTGTGGCCCCTTCACTGGAGGTCACTGACCTTCCTCTTGAGTATCCGGGCTACAGGGAGGGCATGTGCCGAGTGCCTGCAGGGCACAGCACGCCTGTCTAGAGCCTTAGCAAAGCAGGGCTGCCTGGCCTCTGCCATGACTTCCTCCAACTCTTTATTTTCATATGCTCTACTCATTTTTCCCCCAGTTTAATTAATTGCTAAACTTTTTTTTTTTTTTTGAGGGAGTCTGACTTTGTCACCCAGGCTGGAGTGCTGTGGCACCATCTCAGCTCACTGCAGCCTCCACCTCCTGGGTTCAAGTGATTCTCCTGCCTCCCAAGTAGCTGGGATTACAGGCGTGAGCCATTACACCTGGTCAGAAGTTTTAAACTGTCAGGTAATCTGTCAAAATGCTTTCCTCTATGGTTTATAAAGGTTCTCCTCACTCCAAGATTATGTAAATACCTACCCGTATTTTCTTTGACACATTTAATCATTAACCCATTTGAAGTGTGTATATGATAAAGAATTTTTGCAAAAAGGATAATAGCCCACTGTTTTTGTTTTTCTATGTCAACACCAAGTTTCATAATTATCCTTTATGATGGCTCCATAATTAATTGCTGATACCCCATTTTTGGTATCTGGATGAAACATCTGAGGTCACACTGCAAGTGGGTTTAAGTAGAGGACTACCAAATATGATTTAAAAATTTAATTAAAAATGATTTTATAAGCTCTACCAACTTAAAACCAAGTTGCCTCAAGTAAAAAGAACATATATTAGAGCTTACCAACTGATCTGTTATCCATTTTCCTTCCATAGCTTTTAACACTCTGTATGGAAAAGAGACAGAAAATAAGCTCTTAAAAATAATAAAATTCTGTGAAGTTCAAAATGTAAAATCAAAAACTTTTAAGTTCTTCGAAATGGCTAGAAATATCAAAATGGAACTTAGCATTTAAAGGGTTTTCCAGATTCCCTGTTCTCTGCAATTTTTTTCATCTCCTTCCTTCTGCAGTTCTGAACACTGCTAAGAGCCTTTCTACAAATGCCCACAATAAATCTGCCTAACGGCCTCAGCCTTTATCCTCAGTCATCAGTAATTTCCACCCGTCATAATTCATAGTAATAGTTACAAGACAATGAATTAATGATCTAAAATACTACGGTTAGTTCCCAAAGAAATGATACATGCCAGTATCTCCAAAAATTTGTTCTATGGAATAAAATGTTCTATGGGAAAAATAAAGTTTTTGTGTTTGAGTAAGTTAGAGAAATTTCGGAGTTAAAAAAATTCAAGCAGGTTTCTCTAATACGGAATATCCTGGAAGATTTAAACTGCTCATGAATGTGTTTATACCACTGCAGACTCTAGAGAAGCTGGGGTCACACTGTGGGAATCACTGGCCTGATCATTAACTATTTTCACAAAGGGGTGTGAGACATCCATGTTGGCATGGTTTGGGGAGTGTCACAAAAGAGACAACCCGAGCCTTGAGAGATGGGCAGGATGTGCTCAGAGAAGAGGAAAAGCACTGAGATGGAGAGAAACTCAATGAAGGCACAGAGATGCAAACATCTGGAGTGCATCTGAGGAGCAGGTTCTATACCAGAACGTTCTATAGGACAATTTTCAATACTAGGGAGTGGGAGATTCATCAGGGGTACCTGTTAATAACTCGGATTCCCACCCCCCCCAAAAAGACAAACCAACCTCAGATTCTTGGGCCTCACCCCGTATCTACTGCATTAGAATCTCTGAGGATAGGATTCCAAAAATTTGAATTTTTAACCATGATCTCAGCTAATGAATTCTGACACAGATGATGTGCAGACCGTATGTTGCAAAACACTGATACAGACAAAAGAAGAAAGGTAAATGGAAGCACTAATGTCCTATGGGAGCCACCAGCACTAACTTATGTCTAATCATACCCACTGTCCTGGACCCACACACCAATTATCAGTGCCAGGGATCTGACTCATTATCTACTGTGTACCAAGCACCAGGTCTGAGACAAGTATTTTCTAGAAACTTGGTAACTTCTCCTGCTTTACCTCTCTCAGATGCACTCCTTTTTCTACACTTTAAGAGATTGTATCCTAAATTCAGTAAGTTAGCAATTCATTTATCTGCATACCACAGCGATGAATTAAACCAAATGGTGACTAGATCACCTCCATAAATTAAAAGGCAAAACACTCACTCTTTTTGAAATTCTTCTTGCTTGCTCTTAAGTCGGCTTAACCTTTCTTTCTTGTCAATAAACCTGTAAGAAAAAATTCAATGTCTTATTTAAATATTCATTTGTTTTTGTTCAATGAGACTACGTAAATTCCCCAGAACCAATCATTCTGCAGAGTCATGTGAAAATGTCATTGTCCTGATAGTAAATACACATCTTCTCAATGGGATACACACAACTGCTAATCATCTGATCCTTTTAAAACTAAGCTCAAATCCTCAACTTTAAAATTCTTCCTGGGTCTATAAAATATAAACTATATCTTATATCTTCCCCCCAGGTTAAATTATTTGTCAAAATAGGCACATCACAATACTAAAGTGAATCTGAATTCAAGGAAATTGATGCTTTCAGTAGAAAACAAATTTTAATTACCAATCTGGATTCAATCCTGTTCTCTCCTATAAACTGATTCCTTATAATAAATTTTTAAAAATTGTATGTACACTTTTTTTTCCACTAATTTTATTGCTAGTCATTATAGGCTAACAAATTAGTAAAAGTTATCAAAAAGAAGGGATATCATATTGCAATATGTGATACTGTATTTGTCAGTTTCTATCCTAATCCTTATTTTCTTCTTGCTAACTTACCTGGGGGTTTGTTTTTTAATTTTGCAGTTTAAGGTGATAACTCAGGTCAATTTTAAACTTCTGTTTCTTTTAAATGTAATCACACGAAGTCTTAAATTTCCTTCTATGCACTGTTCTAGCTATATCCTAAGATTCTAATACAGCATATTTTCATTATCATTTAGTTTGAAACTTCTTTTCTTTTTGGAGACGGAGTTTCACTCGTTACCCAGGCTGGAGTGCAATGGCGCGATCTTGGCTCACCACAACCTCCGCCTCCTGGGTTCAAGCAATTCTCCTGCCTCAGCCTCCTGAGTAGCTGGGACTACAGGCACGTGCCACCATGCCCAGCTAATTTTTTGTAGTTTTTAGTAGAGATGGGGTTTCACCATGTTGACGAGGATGGTCTCGATCTCCTGACCTCGTGATCCACCCACCTCGGCCTCCCATAGTGCTGGGATTACAAGCATGAGCCACCATGCCTGGCCAAGTTTGAAACTTCTAATCTCCCGTAAGAATCCTTCTTTGACCCATCTGTTATTTACAAGTATATTGTTTCATTTTCAGATACACAGGCTTTTCTAGGTAGCTTACTGTTACTGTTTCTAATTTAATTCATTCTGATGTAGTTACAAAATATATTCTGTGTGATTTCAATCTTGTGACTTGAGAATGTCTTACAGCTTTGCATATGGTATGCCGTGGAGAAAGTTCCATGCATATCTGAAAGAATGTGTATGCTACAGCTGTTGGGCACTGTTCTATAAATGTCAACTAGTTGAAGGTGGTTGACAGTGTCACTCAGTTCTTCTGGATCTGTGCTGCTGTTCAATGTGGTAGTCACCAGTCACATGTGGCTACTGAGTACCTAAAATGTGGCTTGCTGCTTAATAAGGGCATGAACAAAAAAAAAAAATTGTATGACTAACATCATATAATTGATTATGGAATGAACAGTGACCCACTGACCATTTCAAGAAAAGAGGGATAATGGCGCATGCTGCAGTAACATGATGTGATGTCCAAGAATAGGCTTTTGGCTATCTCCCAGCATAAAGGAAAACAATTCAACAGGCCATAACCGACCTAAAAAGAATGTGAGGCCGGGCGTGGTGGCTCACGCCTGTAATCCCAGCACTTTGGGAGGCCGAGGCGGGTGGATCACGAGGTCAAGAGATCGAGACCATCCTGGTCAACACGGTGAAACCCCGTCTCTACTAAAAATACAAAAAATTAGCTGGGCATGGTGGTGCGTGCCTGTAATCCCAGCTACTCAGGAGGTTGAGGCAGGAGAATTGCCAGAACCCAGGAGGCAGAAGTTGTGGTGAGCCGAGATCGCACCATTGCACTCCAGCCTGGGTAACAAGAGCGAAACTCCGTCTCAAAAAAAAAAAAAAAAAAGAATGTGGACAAAGAAGTCTTTCCAAAATACTATTTCTGCAATCCCATGTTTGAAACATACCCCAAGATATCCACTTCTAAGAGGAAGAAATAGTCTAATCATGACCCTAACAAATTTGTTGCTGAAAATGCACAATACACATTAAACAGAAAAAGCAAATAGGTAATATAATATGTGACAGAATTATATACTTATGAGTATTTAAATTTAAATTTAAATTAAATGAAAAGTTCAGATCCTCAGTTGTACTACATCACATTTCATCAGCCACATACGACTAACTGGATGGCGGGGATACAGAACACTTCCATCACTGCAGAAAGTTCTACTGGATAGTACTGCAATGTCCAGTAACGTGATGTGAAACAGTTAGAAAACTCAGAAACCAATGTGGAATGCGGATGAACCCACAGATTCATCAGTCAGTCTATCAGGCATTTACTATGTACCTGCAACATAGAAAAAGGCATCCTCCAGAATATTAAGAAATCTAATAATAAATTCTCCTGCAGTGACTGTGAAATTGCTGGACATATCACTTGTTATATGCTTCCGTTTCCTTGTATCAAAAAAGAGAGACTGATGTGGTATTTACTTTTATATCACTGAGACAACATGGTGATTTATGTTCTGATAATCCATAGAAAATGACACACAAGTTAGCAATCTCATGCCATGCAAAGGACTGACATGAACGATAAAATCTTGCCTTTACAGGCTAAAAAAGTTTTCCTTTGAGGTCTGTTGTAAAAATGCCACTTAGCTCTAAAACAAATTCAGATGACAGACAACTGTGTCCAGCTTAATAGTGAGCTGATTCTCTTGGACTTTGTTAAAAACACAAAAGAAACAAACTCTTACAAACAAATACACAGGTGGCAGCAGGAATAACAAAGGGTTAAGTCCTACTGTATCAAATATTGAAAAGAATGGCAAAAACACTGGCTGGGCGCGGTGGCTCAAGCCTGTAATCCCAGCACTTTGGGAGGCCGAGGCGGGTGGATCACGAGGTCAAGAGATCGAGACCATCCTGGTCAACATGGTGAAACCCCGTCTCTACTAAAAATACAAACAATTAGCTGGGCATGGTGGTGCGTGCCTATAATCCCAGCTACTCAGGAGGCTGAGACAGGAGAATTGCCTGAACCCAGGAGGCGGAGGTTGCGGTGAGCCGAGATTGCGCCATTGCACTCCAGCCTGGGTAACAAGAGCGAAACTCCGTCTCCAAAAAAAAAAAAAAAAAAAAAAAAAAAAAATGGCAAAAACAGCAATTACTTTTGCACCAACCTCATACTTCATGAGTCACATTATCCTTCGTGAAAGAAATTAAAAATAGGTGGTGTCAGCAAAGCTAAAGAGCTGATGACACCAAGCCACACAGGTGGGTCAGCGCCGCAACTGCTCACTCAGCCACTTATCCAGGCTCTGCAGTCTCCATCCCACCACTCACAGAAGGAGATAAAAAATTCATTCCACAAGTCTGTGCTTTCTCAATATGGCTACCAAGAAGTGAAAAATAAAGTATCACTATATTCTAACCAATTTAATGATACATATTATATATATAGTTTTAAAAAGTATATGTGGGGGGAATCCACATTTCACATATTGTTTTCCAAATTGGGGCTGTCACATAAAATATCTTGGTCTCTTTTTCCGTGCCAGAACACATTGATCTAATTCACTAATAAGTACACAACATTTCGCAGAATGGATGTTATACAAACCTCTACAGGTGAACACCAGTCTTCCTTCCAAATTTTCACTATTATCAGTAATGGTACAAATGAATAGCCTAGTGTACCTTTACAGGCTTTTCAGTTTCACTACGAGAAATTCCTATAAATAAAATAAACTGGGCCGGGTGCGGTGGGTCATGCTTGTAATCCCAGCACTTTGGGAGGCCAAGGTGGGTGGATCACCTGAGGTCGGGAGTTTGAGACCAGCCTGGCCAACCTGGCGAAACCCCATCTCTACTAAAACTACAAAAAATTAGCTGGGCGTGATGGCAGGTGCCTGTAATCCCAGCTACTTGGGAGGCTGAGGCAAGAGAATTGCTTGCCCAGGAGGTTGCAGTGAACCGAGATGGCGCCACTGCACCCCACTGTGGGTGACAGAGTGAGACCGTCTCAAAATAAATAAAATAAAAAATAAACTACTTAGTCAAAAAATATTTACATGCAAAACTGTGGGTAATCCTCAAATTCCCTCTAAAACATTTCACACAATTTACAACCCCACCAACAGAATCTGCTTTCTCACAATCTCCACAAACACTGCACATTTCTTATTTTTGCTAATCTGATTGGCTCGGATCTCTCCCTCTGAGAGATGACTCATAATTCACGTATTTGCATTTATTTCATTATTATAAAGGCTGAACAACTTTGCATATTTTATTAGCTACTGATTTTTCTTATTTCCTTAAGTCCTTCATTCAATTTTTTTAGTTTTCTTTTTCCTTCAAGGATTATTTAGCAAGAAAATTGGCCATTTTTCTTTCACACATCTCGAAATTATTTTTCCTATTTTCTTGTTACTTATGTTTCTGCTTTACGGAATTTTCTGAACTTTTAATGTAGGCACACATCATTTTGTTGTTGTTATTAATGACACTAGTTTTTGTGCTGTTTCCTGAAAGAAATCTGCCAGTGAACCTGTTCGACGCCTAGCTCTTTCTTACAACACTATTTTCTGTATTTTCTCTGCCAATTAACAAATGTCTTCTATATTGTTTACTAAATTACTCCATAGTTATATGATTTGGGTCCCCCCAGGCACAGTGGCTTATGCCTGTAATCTGAGCAGATGGGGAGGCCAAGGCTGGCAAGTGGCCCAAGCTCAGAAGTCCAAGACTGGCCTGGGCAACACGGGAACACTCTGTCTCTACAAAAAATGGAAAAAAAACTAGTTAGGCTTGTTGACACGTGCCTGTGGTCCCAGATACCAGGGAAGCTGAGACAGGAGAGCTGCTTGAGCCCAGGGAGGTCAAAGCTGCAGTGAGCCGTGATCTTACCACTGCATTCCCGCCTGGGTGACAGAGTAAGACCCTGTACTCTCCCCGCCCCAACCAAAAAATTGCTCAGACTTACATAGCAGCCAGGCACAGTGGCTCATATCTGTAATCCTAACACTTTGGGAGGCTGAGGCAGGAGGATCGTTGAACCAACAAGTTCAAGACCAGCCTAGAAAACCTATGGAGACCTTGACTCAACAAAAAATTTAAAAATTATCCAGGTGTGGTGGTGCACGCCTGTAGTCTCAGCTACTCAAGAGGCTGAGATGGGAGGATTGCTTGAGCCTAGGAGTTTGAGGCTGCAGCAACCTATGACTGTGCCACTGTACTCCAGCCTGGGTGACAGGGTGACACAGCAAGACCCTGTCAAAAAAAAAAAAAAAAAAAAAAAAAAATCACATAGCAAGTGGTAGAGCTTGGACTCAATTCAAGGGAGCGTGAGTCCAAAGCTCACAATTTTTTTGTTTCAGACAGAGTTTCCCTCTTGTTGCCCAGGCTGGAGTGCAATGGCATGATCTTGGCTCATTGCAACCTCTGCCTCCCAGGTTCAAGCCATTCTCCTGCTTCAGCCTCCCAAGTAGCTGGGATTACAGGCATGCACCACTATGCCTGGCTAATTTCGTATTTTTAGTAGAGACAGGTTTTCTCCATGTTGGTCAGGCTGGTCTCAAACTCCCAACCTCAGGTGATCTGCCCGCCTCAGCCTCCCACAGTGCTGGGATTACAGGCATGAGCCACTGTGCCTGGCCCCAAAGCCCACATTTTTAATTCAACCTTACAGTCTAAGTTAGAGAGGTAAACAGTCACCAAATCACATGGGGCGTCATATGCCATAGTAAGGACCTAGGATTTTATTTTAAATGCAACAGGAGCCAATGAAAGGTTTAAGCAAAACCATGACATTATTTCATTTACATTTCTATTGCGTCTGCTGTTTGGAGACTAGAGGCAAGGTAGGGAAGAGCTGTCTGAGTAAAAGAAGGGAGATCACTAAGTAGTCAGGAGAAAAATGATGGTCTGAACTAAAAGTGGATAGATTCAAGATATATTTTGACATCAAAGTGAATCAGATTTGCTGATTATCTGAATGTAGAGAGTAAGAGAAAAGGAAAAGTCTAGGATAACTCCCAGGTTTCCGGCTTTCTTAACAAATGGATCATAATGGATAATACTGAAATGGTCTAGGAACACTGTGTTTGGGAAAAAGGGGTAGGGTCAGTTCACTCATCCCGTAAATCTTTACTTAGCTTCTACTATGTAAGAAGACAACAGTGTACAAAAGAGAAAAACTCTTCCCCTCACAGAGTTTCCAACACTGGGGTGGGGAGCAGTTAGACAAATTAATATTCACAACCAGATGATGATAAGTGCTATGGAAAAGATAATAAAGCTGGTTAAATAGGGAACAGGTTGGCATTTCTTCATTTCATTTCATATTTCATTTCATTTCGAGTTTTGCTCTTGTTGCCCAGGCTGAAATGCAAGGGCACGAACTCGGCTCACCTCAACCTCCACATCCCGGGTTCAAGAGATTCTCCTGCCTCAGCCTTCCACATAGCCGGGATTACAGGTATCCACCACCATAGCTGGCTAATTTTTGAGACGGAGTTTTGCTCTTGTTACCCAGGCTGGAGTGCAATGGCGTGATCTCGGCTCACCGCAACCTCCGCCTCCCGGGTTCAGGCAATTCTCCTGCCTCAGCCTCCTGAGTAGCTGGGATTACAGGCACGCGCCACCATGCCCAGCTAATTTTTTGTATTTTTAGTAGAGACGGGGTTTCACCATGTTGACCAGGACGGTCTCGATCTCTTGACCTCGTGATCCACCGGCCTCGACCTCCCAAAGTGCTGGGATTACAGGCGTGAGCCACCGCGCCCAGTCTTTTTTCTATTTTTAGTAGAGATGGGGTTTCTCCATGTTGATCAGGTTGGTTTCAAACCCCTGACCCCAGGTGATCCACCCTCCTCCCAAAGTGCTGGGATTATAGGCGTGAGCCACTGCACCTGGCCAAGAGGTTAGCATTTTAATAGAAGGATCAGAAAGAATCTCTCTAATGTATGAGCAGCATCTAAAAAAAAACAAAGGAGGCAGCCCTGAAGATTTCTGAGAAAAAAAAGAGTTCCTGGCTGTCTGAATACCATTACAAACGCCCTTAGGAAAGAGTGTTCTTGGTATGTTTGAGGTCAGACATGGAGGCCACAGTGGCACACCAGAGCAAGTAAGGTAGAAAACAGGCGATTAACTCAGAGGAGGAAGAGACAATATAGAACTTTGGTTAAGGACTCCAGCTTTTATGTTGGGTAAAATGAAAAACCACTGAAAGATGTAAAAAGAGAAATGCAGGGGTAGCATAACTGGCTGCAATACAGTAATTACATTAAAGGAGGAGCAAGGATGGAGGCAGAGACATCAGAGACAATAGTTTTGTGTCTTGGTAGATAAGACCAGGTGATGGTGAAAGGGTTAGATTTAAGGTAAGTTTTGAAGAGTTGATGGGATTTGTTGATGGGACTAAAAGAGTGGCTTAAGACAGGAGATAAGGAGAACTGAAAGGTTTTTCAGCCTGAACCCAAGGAAAAATGAGATTGACATTTACTGGGTTGGGATGAGCATGGGAAAACAGATTTATGAGGAAAAATAAGGAATTCAGTTTGCCATATTAAAATGGAGATACCTATTACAAAATTAAACATTGATGTTGAAAAGGCAGCTGTTTTCTGGACTTCAGAGAAGTTTAGGTCAGAGATCCAAGTCTCACTTTGTCACCTAGGCTGGAGTGCAGTGGCAAGATCTCAGCTCACTGCAATCTCCACCTCCCAGGTTCAAGCGATTCTCCTGCCTCAGCCTACTGAGTAGCTGGGACTACAGATCACGTGCCACCAAACCCGGCTAATTTTCTTTAATTTTAGTAGAGATGGGATTTCACCGTGTTAGCTTCAATGGTCTTGATTTCCTGACCTCGTGATCCGCCCACCTCTTGCCTCCCAAAGTTCTGGGATAACAGGAGTGAACCACCGTGCCCAGCCCATTCTGGCAGTCTTAAGCATACAGATAGTATTTAAATTATGTGAATAGATCTAGGAAAACGTGTAGCGAGAGAAGAAGGTCCAGAAATAAATACCCAATTAACTCCATCAGTTTGACATTTCCATCTCATACCGAGTATTCTTATAACTGGTTTAATATTTAAAGCTATCACTACATAAGCAGTTTCTAAAATCATTAAGAGAACCAATAAGAGCAACAAACTAAAAAGATTCTGTCATTCAAATCTCAAAAGAGAAACAAACAACTCCATCCACGATCACAGAAATACTAAGAACTAAAAACATTCCCAAATAGAGGGTAAGGTCTAGTGGTTAAGTGCGGGTACATAGGTCCAAGCTGTCCGGATTTTAATTTTTGTTCCTGCACTTATCTTTGTGGCCTAGGGCAAAGCACTTAATGTGCAACTTCCTCAGCAATAAGTTGGGGATAAGTTATTGGGTTGTTTTAAATGAATTAATACCTAAACTTTTGGGCTCAGAATGTTAGCTGTCTTACTATCATTGACACTAAGTTGTTAAAACAGAAGCTGAGAGTGGGAGAACCTACAGCTAATTTTTCAATTTTCTTAAGCAAGAACTTGCTCTCTGTTCAGATTTCGAAATGAAACCAAAACATGTTCCTAATGCAATTCTCTTAACTAAGGGCATACAGCTCCCAGTCTGAATTTTAAAACAAGGTCAAAACACGTTCCTAAATTCCTACGAATCCAAAATAATCTTTAGAAGCAGGGAAGGGAAAGGGGAGTTAACAGCAAGCCGTAATTCACCAATTAGAGTACGCAAATCTGATAACAAACTCCATCTGTGAGAGACTACCAGGCCCAAATCCCGCTAAAGCAGTTATTTGATTCTCTTTTATTCTCTCCTCTAGAGGATGACTATACATGTGCTTTCGAAAATAGAAAGCCAAGCTTTTGAATGGAAGTACATACAGCAAAGAGCTGGGAATCCAACTCAATCTCAGCAACAGGGGAAAACTTCTCCAGAGAGTCACCACTTAATTCCTTTTTTCCCCAGTGACCAAGAGCACCGGGGGGTCAAACTTCTCTTGGGTGGGTGATGGGGAAACAGCGGCCTTCCCTCATCAGGCCCCTACGCTGTCCCCCGGTAGCAAAGCGCCGGTGCAGAGCAGCTAGCTACACTGCCTCTCTCTTCCTCCTCTCGCTAGGATTTGGCGCCCGGAAAGGAAGCCCCAAGTTCCAGCCTTCGGCCGCCTGGCTGAAGAAGACACAGAAGAAACAATAGGGCCGTGACGGCCGCCGTACCTCTCCCGGTCGCGGCCGTCGAAGTAGACGAAATCGCCGCTCTGAACGCATTTGGCGCAGGTCAGCCGGCGGCGGGTAGTATTGCACAGCGGACAGCGCTCTACAGCCACGTACAGCCCCTCCGCGTCGTCCACGGAATCCACCAGGTCCCGGGCGAGCGGCCGGGGCCCGCAGCCAGGAGGCTCCGGCGCCCGGGCTCCCTTGCCACTGGGAGACGCCATGATGGCCTGAGAGCTGAGCCAGTCACGTGGGATTTTGTTTTCAACCGGGTGCATTCTGGGCCAGGAGGAGGGGCCTGGGGTAGGCGGTCTGGGATTCCGGAGAGCCTCAGGCCACGCCCCCCGGTCCCCTCTGCCGCCCCAGGCGCCTGTCCTGGGCGCTGTTTTTCCGGCCTGCTGCGGGGCAACAGGTCCTGAAGCGGGGAGAATTATATTAGCGGGGCGAGTCTGCCAAACAAAATGTCATTATCTGCTGGCGCAGGTTAAAACTATGAATTAAAGCCTCAAACTTGTGCAGAAAATTCTAATACCATACTCTAAGGAGTCTGGGAAAACAGAATGGTAGCGGAATAGGGTAATTTAACTTGCTGTGGATGCTTATTTTAAATCTGGATAAAACTACAGCAAACATAGTAGGGTGAAAGGGCAGGGTCTTGGAAGTGGGTTGAATTTTGGCTCACTCGCATGCTTAATAGCTGTGACTTGGAGCAAGTTCCTTTATCTCTGCTCCTGTTTCCTCAGGTTAAATGGATAGGATTACAGTACCTAATGCAGTGAGGATTAATAAATATGGTTAATAGTATTGTACTTTACCAATAATACTGAAAACCCAAAATGAACTTGCAAAATCAGAATTGTGTTATTATGAAAAGTTAATCTGGCTAACGTACCTTCCCTACCCTGGGCCATACTCTAAGAGAAATTGAACTAAGTAGATGGGTAGGACTTCCCTTCCAGTTTTTGTGTTTTTTTTTTTTTTGAGACGGAGCCTCGCTTTGTCGCCCAGGCTGGAGTGCAATGGTGCAATCTGGGCTCACTGCAACCTCCGCCTCCCGGGTTCAAGCGATTCTCCTGCCTCAGCCTCCCGAGTAGCTGGGATTACAGGCACACACCACCACGCCTGGCTAATTTCTGTATTTTTTAGTAGATAGAGTTTTGCCATGTTGGCCAGGCTGTTCTCGAACCCCTGATCTCAGGTGATCCGCTCGCCTCAGCCTCCCACCGCTCCCACCCCCTTCAAGTTTCTTTTGGGGGACAGGGGATATTTAAGGTGGTGTGTTGAGAGAATCATGTAAGTGTAATTAGTATTTGAATATGCCTCTATACTACAGAGAAAAGAAGTGGATTTACGGGTCAGATTAAATAGACCAGTGAGGGCCAGTTGCGGTGGCTCACACCTGTAATCCCAGCACTTTGGGAAGCCGAGGTGGGTGGATCACGAGGTCAAGAGATCGAGACCATCCTGGCCAACATGGTGAAACCCCCTCTCTACTAAAAATACAAAAATTAGCTGGGTGTGGTGGTGTGTGCCTGTAGTCCCAGCTACTCGGGAGGCTGAGGCAGGAGAACCGCTTAAACCCGGAAGGCAGAGGTTGCAGTGAGCCGAGATCGTGCCATTGCACACTAGCCTGGCGACAAAGCAAGACTCTGTCTTTTTTTTTTTTTTTTTTTTTTTTTTTTTTTTTTTGAGACGGAGTTTCGCTCTTGTTGCCCAGGCTGGAGTGCAATGGCGCGATCTTGGCTCACCGCAACCTCCGTCTCCTGGGTTCAGGCAATTCTCCTGCCTCAGCCTCCCGGGTAGCCGGGACTACAGGCACGCGCCACCATGCCCAGCTAATTTTTTGTATTTTTAGTAGGGACGGGGTTTCACCATGTTGACCAGGATGGTCTTGATCTCTTGACCTCGTGATCCACCCGCCTCGGCCTCCCAGAGTGCTGGGATTACAGGCGTGAGCCACCGCGCCCGGCCGACTCTGTCTTTAATAAACAAACGAGTGATTCTCAAGGATTTTACTAGGCCCACTGATAAACTGCCCCGACTTCTCTCTCTAGCCTGGATTTCTTTCTCAACTTCCATACCTAAAGATTCACAACTGCTAACTAGGTATCAAGTGACATTCCAGGACACCACAAACTGTTGGAAACTGACCTCTACCTCCCCACAAACCTGTTTTCTTACCTTGGTGAAGGACATAATCACTGATGATTTACCGCCAAAGCCATGATTCGCATTAGCCCGACCCTCCCTGTTAACCTCCACATCACCATGAAATGCTGGTGATTCTAAAGCCAATTAGGTCTTGAATCTGAGCCCTTTGCTCCTGGTCTTCTTAATCTTACCCAGTCTTTTAAAATACAATCACATAGGATTACAACAGCAAGCAAAAGCAAAAATTCTTATTTTAGAATAGAGTTTATACTAAACTTGAATGCTTCCTCAAAGTTTAAGATCTTTAAGTGACCATTCTCTGATCATTTCAAACAAAAGGATTATTTTTTATTTATTTTTTCTTGAGACAGAGTTTCACTCCTGTTGCCCAGGCTGGAGACCAATGGCTCAATCTTGGCTCACCGCAACCTCCACCTCCCGGGTTCAAGCGATTCTCCTACCTCAGTCTCCCCGAGTAGCTGGGATTACAGGCGTGCACCACCATTCCCAGCTAATTTTGTATTTTTAGTAGAGACGGGGTTTCTCCATGTTGGTCAGGCTGGCCTCAAACTCCCGACCTCTCAGGTAATCCGCCCGCCTTGGCCTCCCAAAGTGCTGGGATTATAGGCATGAGCCGCCATGCCCAGCCTAGGATTATTTTTTAAGGTCTCAGACTTAAGTTTCATTTGTATTCACACAGGATCCTTCACAGTGCTTAATACTGTTGATTAGGCATAATCACAACAGATGATCAGGATCAACTGTTCAATATTTTAAAAGGCAAAAACACACATTAATTCCTATCCTGCTAGATTATCACAGCTAGTACCTAACTTAGGCAGTTATTTGAAATTCCTGGGCCGGGCGCGGTGGCTCAAGCCTGTAATCCCAGCACTTTGGGAGGCCGAGGCGGGTGGATCACGAGGTCAAGAGATCGAGACCATCCTGGTCAACATGGTGAAACCCCGTCTCTACTAAAAATACAAAAAATTAGCTGGGCATGGTGGCGCGTGCCTGTAATCCCAGCTACTCGGGAGGCTGAGGCAGGAGAATTGCCTGAACCCAGGAGGCGGAGGTTGCGGTTAGCCGAGATCGCGCCATTGCACTCCAGCCTGGGTAACAAGAGTGAAACTCTGTCTCGGGGAAAAAAAAAAAAAAAAAAAATTCCTACATGTTGCTATATATTTTCAGAGAACCCATATTAATGTATTACTTAGCAGCAGAGCACCGAGGTTTTTTGGATACAAAATGTAGTTTAAATATTTCTATTTCTCAGGGGAGGTGGCACAACACTTCTCAAAGACAACAAACATTTGTACAGTTCAGAATGGTTTTCTTCTTTGACACTTATTTTGCCATGAACTCATAGGGAATAGGTTCCAGCAGCCCAGGCTCCTCTCCATTGGTTCTCACATAGTGTGCTTCTCTGGGCGGAGCAGGCTGGTGCTTCAACTGAACTCAGGCACCTCACCCTTTGACTTCTTTTTCTCATCATTTACCTTCACGCGTTTCAGGAAACTAACTTGGCTCTTAGAGTGCTTAGTATGCTCATTATACACATTCATTTTCTTGGCAAAAATCTTGCCCTTGTTTACAACAATGCCAGCAGCATGCTGGGTAACACTGTAGTCTTCCAGCTTTGCTGTGGTGACATTTGTGGGGCACTGCTTTTTGAAAAGCACCCATTCCCTTAATGTCTACAATATCACCTTTCTCATAGATTTGCGTGTATGTGGCCAAAGGAACAACTCCATATTTTCTAAAAGGCCTAGAGAACATTTATGAGGTGCCTTTCCTCTTTCCCTTTGTGTTCATCATTTTGGCAAATTACTGGATGGCGGCCCTTCTGGCCAAAAGGAAATGCCTTGAGTCTTAATGATGCTACAGTATCATTCTAGTGAGACCCTAAATCTCTCAAATTTTGAAATGTTTTTGTTCAATTTTTAAAATAACACAGAAGAGTCATTTTGAGTAAGTTTTCTTCAATTCTTAGGTTACTTACATATTAATGAAATAAGTAACGTACTTGGAACATCTACGATCAAATAAGTAATATACTTGGAACATCTACAATCAAAGGTAGAAGAATCCAGCGGTTTCCGTGCTGGGCATACACACATATTCAAACCAGAATAAGGTGAGAGGTCGAATGATACACTCAGGCTTTTTTAAGACCTTTTAGAATAGGATAGATGTTTTCAAATGCTTCACATATCTCAGAACGCTCTTTGGCACCTGTAAAGAAATCCAGGTTTATGTTATTTTTAATATAAAAAATATGAAAATTCACTTAAACACTAAAATTTCATTGTTATCATCTTCGATTACTTTTAATATGATGACATCTCTTTAGCTGTACCTGCGAAATGGCATTTATTCCTGGTAAATAATTTGGCAACTACAGCCGTGTTTCTGCGAAACACAAACCTTAGAGCAGAGTTTTCTAGAACTTCTCTGTGGGTGTCATCTTTGCTCACACAATAATCAGTGTGAAATGTGGAATGTCATCTGTACGTGCACCACAAATATGACCTCAAAGTAATTTCATCAGCACCTGTGGGCACTTAGCTACCCGCAAAACGGACTTCCTTTGATCCACCTCATCTCTAGTTACATCTCGATGCCCTAATATTGACTAACAGATTAAGACGAACAAGCTAGAGTTGGGAAGGGATTATTAGAGGGGAAAATTGTACTACTGTGACTCGTAAAGTCTTAGGTTTCAAGAAATCGTAAATCATAGCTGCTCTAGGAATCATAGGGATAAAAACATGAATCAGTCTCCGCCCTTGAAAAATTATTAGTCAGTCCCTACTCATCTCTCACCACCAACAACCTACCACCACCACTACCTCCACCTTACAAATGATGCAGGCACATTGTGCTAAGGATCATAGACTGGCACTACTTATGTTTCTATGGAGCTTCAGCTAATCAGGACCCTATTGGGAAAAGCAGCCAAGGAGAAAGGACTTACAGAGTGCCTACATAAATTGGTTATGAGTAACATATAAACAAGGAACAACAAACTGCAGAAGGCCGCAGGAGGCCTCTGAGGAGGAAGTCCTCTCCATGCCTCATGTTCTGGTGCAGGGTGACCTCAGCTTTGTTACCATCAACATTGT